GCCTGAGCCTCGACATCGTCCGAGTTAGGCGACATAGGGGCCTGGTGCCTGCCAGAGAAACGACGTGCACGCTTGCGGAGGTGCGAAAAGAAGCTTTCCTTGTGACCACCGGGCGGCGACGCAAGGCCACTGTTGCCGTTGAGAGCGCGCTCGGCCTGCTGGCGATGAATCTCAGCGTAGTTGTTAGTGCTTGAGGCGACCGACAATTGTCTGCCAATCTTCTTCTTCTCGTCAATCTGAACAGTGCGTTGGCGACCGTTGGCGTACGAATCGTTGTACGTCACACCGTTTCTCGCCTCGGCAGTCACCGCATCGGAAATGGGCGAAATGGGACGGATCGATGGGAGTATCGGCATGGGTGCGACGTTGGATGGGCCATTCGTCCATGTCGTACGCTTTGACTGAGCAGGGCGCGTCTTTGCAACGGGGACTTCGTTTGTCGTTTGCGAGGGAACGGGAGACGGTCTCGGGGTGGATTCCTTGGAAATCGATTGAGGAACGGCAACTTCGGCGCTTTCGGAGCGACCAATAAGGGACTTCCTGAACCAAGACGGCTTGGTGGAGGTAGGGGTGGATGAGTTGGAGTTGTTGCCGCGGCCAAGATCGGACTGCTTGCGGCCCAAGATCCTCGACGCGGAGGACTTCGGCCTCAGGGGATCAACGGCATCGGCGAAGTACTCGTGGGCAATTGCCTGTGTTGAGGTCGGGCGGGTCTTGGGGTCCCACATCAGGCACCACGTAACGAAGTGGCTCAGCGCAGCGGGCCACTGAGGTTGCTGCAAAATCGTATCCATGGCATGAGGAGCCATCTTGGGGAACGAGAAGCCAAGCTTGCCGGCCAACCTGGTACCATCCTTCCATTCGCCGCCACCGACACGGGCTCCGGACTTGTTGTACCAGTTTCCGGGGCTTCCCATGATCTCGCATACCCTCCAAACTTGGTCGACCTCGTTTCCGCCGGGGAAGAGTGGCTTGAGTGTTGCAATCTCAACGGCCATGGCGCCGACAGCCCAGATATCAACGGGTGCCGAGTATTCACCGGCACGCAGAAGCACTTCGGGTGCTCGGTACCATCTCGTCGAAACGTAAGTCGTGTAAGGAAGCTTTGAGTGGGTTTCGCGTGCAAGTCCAAAGTCGGCAATCTTGACGGTGTAATTGGGAGGCGTGGAGGGGGGAGTGACGAGAGCCGAATATCTGCGGAAGGATGTGACGGTGTCTTGGTGGGATGAGGTGGAGACAAGAATGTTCTCGGGCTTGATATCGCGGTGGAAGAAGTGATGTGCGTGAATGTGCTCGAGGCCCTGCATGATCTGGAAAAGAATGCTCTTGACACTGGCGTTGTCGAGGCACTTGTGATCCCGAGCCTTCATCAATTGATACAGGTTACCCTCCATGTACTCCATGGCGATGTGCAGCTTCTTAGTGTAGGGGTCGAGGAAGATGTCAAGGGCGGGGACGAGGTGGGCATGGTTGGGGAGCGTCTTCAAGAAGACGACCTCACGAAGCTCCAAGCATGGCGTAAATGACTCGAAAGTCTTCTTCATGGTCTTGATGGCAACCTAGACGACGTTTTAGTGACCTGGTGTGGTGCAACGGGATCGATATGCAGGAACTTACCACCGTACCGCGACGAGCCACGCTAGCACCTGCGCTACGGACTCGGGCGAGAACGACACTGCCAAAGCTACCATCACCAATTTCCTTGAGGACCTCGAATCGATCTTCGAGAGCCATGTTGTTGGCAGAGTGTGATGATGAGCCTCTGTGGGCCAGTTCGTGTGAGACCGTCATTTTGTTTGATTTTTGTGTGTGGATGTGATCGTTGATTCCAGTCAAGATCCTCGTGACGACGGTGTTTCTGAGGCGGGTCAGCTGGCCAGGGCCGCTTTCTCAGGCGTATTAGCCTGGACCGTACCAATGCTGTGCCTAACTAGGAGGAGCTCTGTGTAAGAGCCGCTTGCGAAACCTGTGGCATTCAGACCGGTCTGAGTGGGAGAGCTTTTTCCAGTATGGTTGGTAGTGTTTGTTGGTGGTGATGTGGTGGTGGCGGTAGTAGTCAGGGTTGGTAGTGGTGTGTGTGGTTGAAGAAGTGTTGAAAGTTGTAGTAAGGAAATGCTTTGTGCGGATGTTGTCGCGAGTAATGGGTCGGGAACAGGTTGATGTTGGAAATAGAAAAAAAAAAAAGCGAGAATGACTGAGCTGGGATGGACCAAGAGAGCGAAACCAGATGAAGAAGAGGAGACAGCGAGGGACGGGCGAAAGCCAGGAGGTGGTCGATATTATTAAAAGGGCCAGGGAAGGGTCCAGGGGGTGGGAATGGAGCTAGAACCAGTCGATCGGGGATGGATCCTCAGACGTGGATATCCAGAGGGGACGATGTTCTCGGGTGCGTGGGTCGAGATTGCGATGATGAGGAAGCGACCCTTGGAAGGTGGAAGGGGGGTTGGGCGACCAGGTTTTGTTGGTTTGGTCTCTTTGGGAAGCGCGTTGAATTATGAAGCTGGTGACGAGGGGAGAGATGAGCATCGACGCACGAGGTGTTTGGGTGGCCGTAGTGGTCTTGGTGGTGGTGGTGTTGTTGTTGTTGGATGTCCAGTCTTTCCTGTCCTGTCTGCGCAATGCGTGTGTAGTGTGTGCTTGAATGCAGTTCAAGTAATGGCAAGTTGCTTGTAAATGCAATGCAGCATTCGCGGACCGGACGGCAGTTGATGGATGCTCTGCCTGTAGGATAGCAAAAGCTCGACGAGAACTGCGACGCGCATATGGGTTGTTAAAATAAAATAAAAGAGGGACGAAGAAATAGATGAGAGAGGAAGGGGTCAGGGAGCTTTGGGAGAGGAGGGGAGCCAGAAGCCGAGCGGAAGTGGAAAGGGAGAGCAAGAATGAATGGGTGACGAGGGTCGAGTGGACGGTACGGGGGGAGGAAAGAGAGAGTGTGTGAGAGAGTGTAGAGGTACTCCTTACGGTGCGGTACCGTGTAGGGTAGACAGACACCACTGCACCAGTAAGGTAGGTACCGCAGAAAGAGAGAGAGGCGTGAGAGAGAGCAGAAACCCACACGCGATCCAGCAGAGTGATTCACCGCGGACCCGCGTCGGGATGGGCGAAGACGAGGATTGAGAGGACGAGGGACGAGGGGTGGGAGACTTTCACTTGGAAAAGGAACCTCCAGGCTCTGTGGCTCTGAGTAGGGATCTGAGGTGCTCCCGTAATAAGATAGGTACCTAGTCCCTAGTCCCCTGAGGTACTGCGTAGGTGTGCAAAGTGCGGTACGAAATGCAGTGCAGGTGGAAGGGAAATTGAATTCTACTGACCGGGAGTAAGTGGTAAAATGGAGCGAGGAGCCGGCCACTATGCCGTCGACTCGAGAAATGGCCGGGGGCCCGTTCTTAGCATGAACGAATGAATCCGGGGGGGGTGAACGGTCGAAGGAGAGGGTACTTGGTGATAGGGGCCCAATTTCGCTAATGGTTTTCGGGGGGGAGTCGTGCTTTTTTCTCTCACTTCTTTTGCCCTTTTGCCCTTTCGCTCTGGCGGGCCAATTTGCGCTCGAAGGGTGTGTCCAAGGCAAAAGGCAAGGGGGGGTGTGATGGACCGATGGTGGTGGTCTGGGAGTCTCCTGGGACCTGGGGCGGCCAAAAAAGCCTAGGTAAGGGGGGGGCCGGCGGACCAGGGTCAGGCTGTAATGTTTGTGTGCGAGTTGTGTGCTCGTTATGTGTGTGTGTGTGTGTGTGTGCCTGAGTGTGCCTGTGTGTGTGTGTCCAGTTGTGCCAGTGTCTGTCTCTCTTGTCTTGCCCTGCGAGAGAGGGAAGGTCCACGGAGAGAAATGGTGTGTGTATGTGCGCGCGCGCGAGAGGTACCTGACTGGCTTGACCTGACCTGCCTGCCCTGAGCTTTTCTCTACGGATAGGTACGAACAGTTAGGTATCTTTTCTCTCTCTTGGTGAGGTGCCAGGTGCCTGTGGTAGCAGGCAGGAAAGACAACGGAAGGCAATGAGCGACAAAACTGTACCAGAGTCCAAAGAGTGATGACTACCTGAGAGGCGAGTAGGATTCCGTAATTCGAAAAAGGGCAAAAAAAAAAAACAAAAAAAAAAAAAAAGGAAGATTATGATGTGGACTGCAGGGTCGAGCTTGGTTTGATTATGTTCGGACGTTTGGTCGCAACTTGCGAGTGAGTGGCCTCTTGGTACACTTTCTTCTTCCTCGTTCCTTTCTATCCGGCGGTTGTCTCGTCTGCGCCTGCGGCCTGTATGAGTGTCTTTGGCAGCTTGGAGTTTGGTGCTTGGTGCTTGGTGCTTGGATCCCTGGGATGGAATTGAATTATTGGGAAATCAAACAAACTTCTGCTGGTCTCGCCTCCCGCCGTCACGGTTCACGGCCTATCTAATATGTCTGTTCCTTTCCCCCTCTTCCATCGTGCCCACACCAAATCGACCCCGTCTCTTGTTTTGGTATTCGACTTGACATACAGACCGTCGCACGGGAAGACGACGGGGGGGGCACGCCGCCGCGCATGCACAGCTTGCACACCGGGCAGGTCCTTCAACCCATCTTCACTCCAATCCAGGCTGATGGTACGTGAGTTGATGGGGCAGCGGGCGATGCTTGATGAACTGGCATACTGCGTAGCCCGACTGAGCATCTCTGCCCGGGGCGGTCGGCAGTGATGGCCCAGAAACGTAGAGGTCATTGCCCGATAGAGCTTGGTATGTATCCGCTTCGAGGCAGTTGTCAACCGATACATGTTCATCAGGTAGCCCTAGACATGGGATATGCTGCAGACTTGCTGCGAGTGGCGGCATCACCAGGTACCATGACCACCACCGTAGTATCGTACGCCGCGAACGCTGCGAGAAAAGACGGAGAGCGAAAAATAACACCAGGCTGTGTCCGCGAAGCAACTCTGCACATGCAAGCCTACCGCAGCAACATTGTCAGCATCATCAGCATCAGCATCAGCATCAGTCTCAGCTCCAAGCACCACCCGCGCCAGCAGCGCCAGCAGAAATGCAGCCTGTAGGGTGCCGAGTAAAGATACGGAAAGAACCATCCGTATAAAATGCCTCGGCCGGGTGAAGAGGGCACGGTACGACGACCGACCAGGGTTTGAAAACGGGGACCAAGCCGTTCACGCCGTTGGACGATGCTCCAGACTCCAGTGACTCCTCCCCAACCGGCTCAACGGCGGATCAAGACACACAAAATCTGCATTGGAGGAGCATCTCTGCGCGCGGGGCGCGTGCAGGAGGAACTTTGAAGAAGAGGTGAGCACATCGGCGCTGCGCAGTAATGCAATGTGCGTGTTGTGTATGTGTTGTGTTTTGATATGCCAGCACAACAACCGCAGGACCAAACAGCTTTGCCGGATGCTGGGCTAAAGTCGTGTACATCTTGTACCTGGGATTTCATGCCTTGCTGCGAGTCTGCGACCGCAGACATTCGTTATCTGTGGTGGCCAGATATGAATACCTCAGGCAAAGGTAGCGTACACCGTAACGTTCCTGACGGTACGCGCATGTAGCGTGCCACGCCCAGCAGGGCAAGACGGGGAACCAGGTCCAAGAATGGAGCTCCGCGATGGAAATCCTGCAGCCTTATTCGACGATGCTGGCAGGGGCCGACCGGGACGGGGGTCTTCGTCGTCTGGTGAATGATGCGCTCCAGGAAACGATTGGTATTTGTGTACCTATGTACATATGTGTGTGTGCGTGACTGCGTGTGTGTCGTCTCCGTCGCGACACGTAAAGAGTCCGGGTCGGCGCAAGTGCATTCGTCGTTCATTTTGGATGACGGGTATGAGAGGGAGACCCTGGGAACTGAGCAAACCTTGGAAACCTGCCGTAGGGGACCAAGAGGGGAACAATGCGGGCACAACGGCGAAGGGGAGAATCGTAGTGTATGTACGGAGACACTTGGCAGACTGCGGTGACTGGTCCCCAGCTGGCCGAGAGTGAGAGGGTGATTGATCAAGACAACCCTGAACTCAAGACGTTGAACGGCCGGATCTGGAGGGAAGAAACTGGAGATCCAAAGGCAAAAAAGAAAGTGGCCTTGTCCTGCGTGCCTGCGTCCCGCGTCTGCGAGAAGGGAAAAAGGCTGTCATCCGTGTCAGGTTGCCCGCTGTTGAATGGTTCAAGTGGTTCAAGCGCATAAAGCCTCGTTTCCACTTCTCGCACAACACGAAGAGCAGGAGAAAAGGGAAACCTGGCCAGCTGCCGCGAGCTTGCTGCTCATCACCAATGCTAGTGCCATTTGGAAACCCTGGAGGCTAGGAAAAAGGGTCTCTTGGTGGCGGGAATGATCGGAGGGGTCCAGGTCCAAGTTCCCAGAGATGCCGGGGCAAAGGACCACTGGGTGTCAGTGTGTCTTTCGTCGTCTCCATCTGGCTAATTGTCAATTCAAGCCATGAAACCGAGCTCAAAATGGTGTTTCTAGTGGTGGTGGATGGACTGAAGCATCACCATCACATCACACCTCAGAATAAGAAAAGAAAAAAAAAAGATTAAAAAGAAAAAGGGGGCCGCAAGCTCGGGGAAGGTGGAAAGGGGATGCAGCTCATGTCCGTCCGTTGGGTCACTTTTGGTGTGAGCTCAGGTACAGTACGTACCTGACATCTAGCCGGTACGTATCCGTATCCTCTTCCACATCCACAACCTCACCTCGTGCTTTACCTCCCACGCCTTCTTACCTTATCTACATGAGTACATACAGTACGAGGCACCTCGGCGAGCAGAACATTCGGTTCCATTGGTACGTATCTAGACTGAGGTGCTTCATTTTGCAACGCGACATCGACGCGATCAAATCAAGACCGGGACCTGGCAGGATGTGACGGGTTTAAGCCCGCAGCTGTGTGTCTACTTGTCTAAGAGCCAGGTCAGCGGTGTGCTCTTGTGTAGCAGCTAGTCATAGGACAGCTGCCGCGTTCCTCTTCCTACCTATTCCTTTCCCTCGGGTCTCCAAGCTTGACAGCAACAGCCGGCTCATCATGTAGTGTGCAGCAAGCGGCGCCGGCTGGCAAAACGAGTGCGAAAGAGGCAAGAAGCAAGGGGACGATGAGAAACTGTCCACGCCAGCCAGTAGATCAGCCGGGGGCCCGGGAGGCGCCACTTTAGGGCCAAAAGGCTAACGTGGAAGGCTGCCCGAGACTGACTGGCGGGCACGTTGGGCCTCACGCCTCGAATGGAATGGCACCGCGGGCGGTATCCGTACCACCACCACGCTTTTTTAAGAACATAAACGAGAAGACGGCCAGCTGCTTAGCTTTGTGCATACATAGCGTCTCCGATGGATCTGGCGCTGCCTTGGCTGCTCGCACAAGCCCCCGAAACAGCAGGCAAACGCCTACTAGGGTCAATTATGCCAGGCCCGTGTGTCCAACTACGCTGTCAAGCATCCCAGCGTCGCGATGTTCAGGTACCGGAGCACAACTTTCCCATTTGGCTGTGTGGGAGGTATTCGGTACCTGGCCCGCCTTGCATTGGTGGATTACTGCCGCATCAACGCCGTCGGCATCATTGGATGCTACTAGTTGGACAATGCCAGGGGCACAGAAGGCGAATGGAAGCATCCGAATGGTGGGGAGAGCTGATGATCCGGCCAACTAACTCAAAAATGAGCCTGAGGTACAGTGTAGCGACGGGCCTATCGCGGTAGTGGTGAAATAAATTGTCGATGAAGCGCGGTAGCTCGTAGAACACGGGTAGGCGTGGCAATGCGTACGAGTTCCATTCTCAAGTCTGCAAATCTCATCACCACCTCGGGTGGGATTGGGAAATGCGAACGCCCACCCTGCATGCTGGGAATTGTGCAGGTGTTTCTCGTCGTTTCATGTCTCGCCGTTGAGCCCTAGACGCTGGGTTAATAAGCCTCCGCATTGGTCGACACACTCATATAACTTATTAACCCACACGCTGCTAGCACGGAAGCAGAGTAAAATCCAAACGTCCTCAAGCCTCAACTCAAGGCCGCGGTGCGGAGTACGGTGTTCCAACATACTTTATTGGTATCCGCCATGTGCCCTTGTTCGTCGCCGGCTCGTTTGCCTGCCCCCAGTGCTACCTTAGCTCGGGGCCTGCGGAACGGCCCTGAAGAGCCTTCTTGCTTGCCTGGTACTGTATCTTGATTCGCTCGAGGTGAAAATGAGGACGGAGTATCAGTGATGCCGTCGAAGGGGGTCCGGGTCTCGTCAACTCGCCTATTATGTCATCCTACGAGCAAGCTACTCCAGAGACATACACTCATATCCGATCTTCAGAGACGTAGTGACATCAGCCGAAACCATACTGCGTAGCTAACAGTTGATTACCTCCTCCTTTTCTTGGACTCCTTCTCCGATAGACAGCAGAGGCGACGTCGGCGGGGTTGGGATTGTCGGTGCGAACCTGATCCTGTAGCCAGAAGCGCGTCAGTGTGGGCACGTCCATAAATCAGGAACAAGAAAAACCAGGCACAGGGGCGCAAAAAACGTGGAGGCAGCCCACCTGGGCAGGCTGGCGCTTGACATTGATGCGCGGATGGGCGAGCCCAGATTCCCAGCAGCCTGGTGTTGACTTTGGTGACCCAGGAGAAATGATGAAACACGGCGGGAAGGTTGCGGGAAAGGGAATCAGGAGGGAAGCATCCGTACGGAGTACTTCGTACCTGCCTGCCACAGAGAGACTGGATGTCGGATGATGACATGCTGCTGGGCTGGGCGCAAAGGGAAAGAATGCAGGTGGAGGAAGCTTCCTGCCTTCCTGCCGGCTCTAGCCCAGAAATGACAGGGAGCTACATGAGCACTGTACTTCGTACCTGCTTCCGCGGTGATGAACTCCAGGACCTTCCTCCGTGGCATTCGGGGGTCTTTTTGACGCACTACCGAGAACGCTTTGCAAATCTCTTGTTGATTGTCAAGAAAGAAAGGTAGCTCCCCTGACGTATACACTTTCGCACTTACAAGTGACTACAGCATGGCGCCAGTAAGTGGCGTTGCAGTGCTGCTGGAAACTCGCCGTTCAACGTTCAGCAATTCCCAGATGAAGCCACCAACTTGCAAAGTCTGTCGATATAGGATGACTCGCTCGGCTGTTTTCTCCTTTGCCGCAATACCCAATTACCAGATACTTGGGTCAGAAGTCAACCACGGGCTTATGATGGAGCACATCGCCAACCGGCCGAGGCAACAAGGGGTCGCCAAGCAGAACAGGGCGCCCTGTCCTGCGTGCCTCGAAGCTCTCGATCAAGCTCGACCCGAACACGGGGAGCCGGAACTGACAATGGAGCTTCTCTTTGTCCCCTCTCTTCAGTCTTCCTTCGCCTACGTATCCTTACTGTGACATTGGGACCTAGGGAACTTGTGATGCTTTGGGAAAGCTCACCGGTGACCACGCCAACGAACGGAGCTCATGGGGCAAAGAGGCCCTCCGCCCGTTCGTTCTAAACCATCAGCTTGTCGCAACGAGACAATCAGTGGAGATGCCCAAACCGAATGACACACTGCAATCCGCCGCACCCTGCCGGAAAAAAAAACGATCGATATTATTGCTTGGGCCATAGTATGGAAAACGTCTGGAACATGTCGGCGTATGCACCATCTCTAACAGTAACCAAGGCCCCCCCACCCCTGATCGCCTCCGTTACCGTTAACCATATGTAAGATTCCTGCCTATACAGAATCGAAAGGCTATCAGGACGTTTGGCTGCTTGGGTTGGTTTGCCGCCTTGCCGCAGGCGCACTGCAGTGCGCACGCGGGTGTGTACACCATCGTCACTGCGTCTTTGCAACTGTCACTTGGAATGACAACGTGCCAAGTCTCAGAAACATGCGGCCAAAGCAACAGACTCATGGAACGGAGGTAGCGACGTTGGTGAAGCAAACAAGTTGAACACTAACCGAGCACGTCGCAATGCGACGCCCACCGTTGTCACCTCACCTCGACGACGTCTCGAGACATGTCTTTGGCCTCCTACTCGGGGAAATGATGTTTGTCAGACCCCCGCCCACCGAGTATCCTATTTCATCACTTCCCCTCCTCATAATACCACGGGCCTTTCCGTTAGATTGGCAGCCAGAGAGGGATCAGAGGGGACCGTCATCCTTTGAAGGGGACTTTGATGAGAAAAGACGTTGATCGACAAGCTACGGAGGAACGTTGGGCACCACGCAGTCGGGGCCATTTGAGAAGCACCAGATCTGTGCCCACTGCCCGTTAGACCAGGCGTTCGACCAGGGTTTGGTCGGTAAATGGCCCACTTGTTGCATAAAACGTTGTGCATGGACACGAAAGCATGCAATTGGGTATATGTCTATAACCGGTTTCTGCTTAAGTATCTATCCCCGATAAAGGGTTGCTAGACTGCGGGTCTCTATCACGATTCACCTCCCGCAGTCTTACATGGACACTATGGTTTGCTGCTGATAGGTTGAGTGTTGGTGGCTTCTAAGGGCTTTGAATCTACCTAGGTCTAAGGAATACATGACACGCTTTAACTTTACAATGCTAGGAGAAATTTTGATTGCGGCGTCAACGACATCAAGATAGCAATGTGTTCTGACCTGAGCCCGTCCTCACCGCTGCTTGGAAGGTCATACCGATTTTCTGCAGGGAGATGATGGCTTGAGGAAATCCACATGTCTGCATATGTCACGGATGTCCCAGTCACCGACTTACAGAATTCTTTCTTCCGCGAGTAGAGAGCCTTTGCCGATGTAAGTAGGTACCAATTTCAGTCTTTCAGTCATGTCCAGTTATGGAGAGTGGTCCAAGGTTGTAAAGCCGCAATCCACTCAAGAAACTAGCAAACAAAACAGCAGTAACCACCTGTGTCTCCCTGTGGCTCTGTCTCTGACGCAAGATAAGGAACAGGAAGAAGGGTGGGCGGCTTATGCAGTCTCAACCTCATTGACGGGAAACAGACATCACGAGGGATTGCTAGCATCCTCGGTGATTTCTGGGCATACTCAAATGCTCTCCCACCCCCAAAATACATCTAAGTACCTTGTTATCGAGGAAATACAGAATAGTATTTCAGGTGACTCGCACGTACGTAAACATAGTTCAAATAAAACAACAAAGTGCCTACTTGGTATTTTGGATCGATATACGCCTTTTTAAGGTAGGCATGCTGTTGTAGAAAGATGACTGTGTTGATGACTGCTTCCCATCGACGTTCATAATATTGATGGCTTCAACCATGATAGCTGAAAAGCTTGAACATGACTCCCATTCAAGTAGATCCTGACTTCCCTGGCAGTATCTTCTCATCAACTCCATCAATTTTCATGAGCCATCAACTTACAACGCATGCAGCCAGAATTGGGGTGCACCCTCGCGGGTCGCCATCCAGCTTATCTCTTCAGGCCTAGTAACACATGCACCACGTGGCTACCGTCACTGGACCTACCCTTTTCGGCCTGCAACCATATCGGGCCTTCGGAATGCATCGGTTGAACCGGTGTGAGGGGGGAATCACACAACCTTGAAGATGCAGGCTGACCGGAGGAACGGTTCACGGGAGCCAACGAAGAGGTCCACTACTGCGGAGAGAAGGGTTCGACAAGAACCCGATGAGCGCCCTCAAGGAGCACGGGGAACGCTGACACGGAGCCTTATCCGGGGCGTAGGTACCTACAACCTGCCGCACCCTACCGCATGGTTGGGAGCACCGATAATCGGCCCCATTTATTCATTCCTTCTGAAGGTTTGTGACTGTTGGAGGAATTTTTTTCTGCTCCTACCCCAATTGCCTTTCGCCGACGACGTCTGTCAAAAAATATTTTTCTTCCTTCTTGGAGCCTCATCGTTCCCTCGTAGAAGTACGAGCGCCAATTCCCTCACTCCCGAAGAGGCCGGACTATTTAGTCCCGAAGATATCCTGTCGTTGCCTCGTTCCGACTCTCTCTTTCCTCGTCCGAAACACGAAGAAAACACGGCGTGGACCCTGTCCAACTAAAAAAAAAATACCCCGCCATCGGATACCCCGCCACCACCCACCCACGGCCGAAGCTATCTCGAACACCAACACCCACAACTACGTCGGTCCCTTTTGCACAAACTTTTGCCAAGCTTCTTTGAACAAGGAAGCATTGGATCGACCTCGAGAAACCCTGATCTACGGCAAGACACTGCAAAGAGCAAGACAAGATGTGTGGAATTCTTGGAATCTGCATGGGTCATTATGACCGGGATGAGGACAACTGCGACGCAGCGCAGGACATCCACGAAGCCATGTACCTTCTTCAGCACCGCGGTCAAGACGCCTGCGGTATTGCGACTAGGTAAGGGAGCTTCACCAAACTCTAGTGAATTACAGGCTTGTGCTGACACCAGCAGTTCTTATGGAGGACGAATCTTCATGAACAAGGATTCCGGCATGGCAGCGACCGTCTTCAAGGACGGCAAGAGGGTCGTTGACTTGCCTGGATGGATGGGAATTGGTCACCTTCGCTACCCTACCTGGGGAAGCAGTGGACGCGCTGAAGGTCAGAACAAAGCTGTGCTGGTGAAATCTCACGGCCCTTGAAAGGCTAACACAGCTCACAGCTCAACCGTTTTATGTCAACAGCCCTTATGGAATCTGCCTATCGCACAATGGCAACCTCACCAATGCGGCTGAGCTCCGTGCCTTCCTGGACAAGGACGCCCACAGGCACATCAACACTAGCAGTGACAGTGAGCTGATGCTCTCTGTCTTTGCCAACGAGCTTAACGAGACTGGAAAGGCGCGTATCAACGAGACGGATCTGTTCAGTGCGCTTGAGCGTACCTACAAGCGTATCCAGGGTGCCTGGGCTAGTGTCATCATGGTTGCTGGATACGGCGTGGTTGCGTTTAGAGACCCCGATGGCATCCGTCCCTTGGTCTGGGGTTCTCGCAAGTCGACTACTAGCCCTGACGATGACTCTTACGACTACATGGTTGCATCAGAGTCGATCGCTCTGCGCCAGCTGGGCTTCAAGAACATCACTGATGTCTTGCCTGGACAGGCTGTGCTCTTCAAGAAGGGCTGCCCTCCTGTTTTCCACCAGATTCAAGAGCCGGCTTCTTACAGCCCTGACATCTTTGAATACGGTAAGAGGGAACAACCCTGGGAAAATTTGCTGGAGCTTGCTAACGTTATCAAGTGTACTTCGCGAGGCCTGACAGTGTCATCGATGGAATCAGTGTCCACGAGTCTCGCAACCGCCAGGGCATCAAGTTGGCTGACAACATCATTGCAAGGCTGGGCAAGGAGGCTGTCAAGGATATCGATGTTGTTATCCCTATCCCCGAGACCTCCAACACGGCTGCCGCGGCCTTGGCAGAGCGCCTCAGGAAGCCCTATTCCATGGGCTTCGTCAAGAACCGCTATGTCTTTAGAACTTTCATCATGCCTGGACAGCAGATGAGGCAGAAGAGCGTTCGCCGCAAGCTGAGCACCATCGATTCCGAGTTCCAGGGCAAGACCGTGCTGCTTGTGGATGATTCGGTGGTCCGCGGTACAACCAGCCGGGAGATCGTCACTATGGCGCGCGAGGCTGGAGCTCGCAAGGTCATCTTCAGCTCGTGCTCACCCGAGGTCATCCACCCCCACGTTCACGGTATCGACTTGGCATCGCAAAAGGATCTCATCGCTCATGGACGCACCAACGCCGAGATTGCCGAGCAAATCGGCGCCGACGACATCATCTACCAGACGGTCGAGGATCTCGTGGCCTCATGCGCCGAGCTGTCTCCCCGTGACCCCAAGACGCAGACTTTCGAGGTTGGTGTCTTTAGCGGTTGCTACGTCACCCCCGTTTCCGAGGCCTACCTAGAGCAGCTCGACGATGCCCGCAACAGTGGCAGGAAGCGTAAGGCGCTTGTTGCCAGCAGCGGCCCCGTGCTTACCGGCACCGCGGACTCTACGGATGCTCCTGCTGCTAAGGTCGCCAAGACCAATGGCTTGGCGGCCCGGACACGAGCTGACCCGCAGTCCCCGGGAAACCCTGCGGACATTGGGTATGTACATTGTTTGTCCTTACAATATGGGGGAATTGTTGACTGACTGAATGGCTTGCAGCATCCACAACGCGGCTCATGAGGGGGAGAACTAGACGATAGAAAGAAGCTCACGCAACTATCCAGAGAAAGGCTGGGACTGGGGTATACAGAAAATCAAAAATTCAGGAGAGGCGTTGGGGAGGGATTGGCATTTTGAAGCTACATTGCATTCATCTCTGAGGGTTTCCCACTCAGGTTTGGAGTTGGGTACTCCATTTGGTACTCGGCTGGTTAAAGAGAGAGAGAGGTATAGTCATTCATACGAAGGGTTCTTTTCGAACGTTTTGCACATAGGCCATAGAACGATTCATGAGAATTGATCATCCAGTCACACAATTGCTCGGCGGACTTCGATGGTCGTTGGAATGTATCCGGTAGTAGCATGAAAAGTCCAGGGGGGATATGCCAAAGCACAGGGTGGCTCTGCATCAATACTGACTAGGGTGGTTAACCCGGCTAAGTGCATGGGCTCTGCTCTTGCACATCATCATCACGGCTCAACGTCGCTTCATTTGTGTCATCTACACTAATCCGTAGGCCCGAGCCCGAGGGCTCCATCAACCGGTCAGTTCTCTCCATCCGCGTTAGACGGTGACCAAATTCCGTGAAACGATCCACCGTCTTCACTGATGGATCGGAGCGTTTCTCCCTCCCCTTCCCGTTCAGCCCACAGGTGGTTAGGTTACAAGCCGGACTGACTGGTTCCCAGCCTCCAGGTAGGTAGCCTTCCGCACGGAGCCTGTCGCGACTCATATCCCAACCCTCATCCCAGTGCCTGTATCTCTTCCACCAAGGGCCCTTGATCAGTGGGGGAATAAAAAAAAGATGGAGAGAGAAACTCTCACTGTGAACTTCGCGAAGAAAAAGACGATGGAAGGAAAAAAGGTACATGACCAGGGACCTGGTGCGAACTTTGGGAAGAACAGGGCCCGGACGACCAACCGGCACATCCGCGGTTCGACGACCGGCGTCCATTTGGAATGACAGCTAGTGGGGTTATCGCCCTTGTGCCCAAGATTCCCAATTCCCAGTAATACCTAGGTAGCGTCCGTGCCAGCCCAGACGTAATAATCCCATCCAAGCCCAAAACTCTGCTGGGCAAACCCGCCCACTGGCTGCATTGTGAGATGAGGTAAATCTCATGGGCGAAGTTGCCAGAAGATGAGCGCCTGTATGAGTAAATTATTGACTCAGTGTACGGAGTACGGGCTCAGTGGCCCCCCCAGGTGGCGCCATTGCCGCCGCCGCGGCAACATCTTCACGTTGACTAAGGCTAGACAATTTCTCCACTATGGCGCCCCCATCGTACGGACTCCACGACCCCTTTCTCGCCTGCTAGATGCACCCTTTTGCCTTTCTTTAGGGTGTCTTTCGTTACTTTTAGCCTGATGGTTACTTCACACCGGTGAACCCATCAGGCAGGAAGACGAAGGAGGGGGGGGATCGTCTCTTGGTGGATTCGCAACTACGGACCGGGCTTCTCTGTGACCTGTATGCTTCGGCCTGGTAAGGAAAAACATGGACATGGTCACCTTCAATCGCCGGCCGCAGTGGCAGCGCTGGGGATGTAGTGCTGCACAGCTTTATGCTTCTCATCAGGGTCGGACCCTTGGACGAGGAGGGGGAAAGGATCCCAAGGAATGCAAAGCCCGCGCCGTCCGCCGGTCTCTTGGGACGGCTGCGTTTTGGCATTTTTTGGGCCATCAAACCCCGCCAAATGGGCAATGCCAATAGTCAATAGTTATGCCTGGCAGATTAAGCCCATGCGGATGCAAGCCGTGCGGCTGCAATGTCACCGACGTTTGCTGACGGGCATGAATTTGGCCAAGGTATGGCCGGGTTTCCGGTTCCTTTCTTTCCCAGGCGTTCCAACCCCCCAAGTATTCGGGCCAATCTGGATTGGGAGGCACAGCGTCTCTTAGTAGAAGGTATCGAACCAAGAACCATGCTCAGCTGGGCTTGGGAAGCACCGCATGGCCGCATTATCATGGGCAACTTCGAGGCATGGAACCAGAGATGATGGACGATGGATGATGCCCCTCCCTCCCTCTTTCTGCAGTGCACAAGCACACGCACAAGCGCGGGGCTCTGGCTCCGCATAGAGTGTTTCTTGTTCCGAGTTCGTTCTCAATGATTTTATTTGGGGGCCGTTAATGTGCCTTGAATATTGCCAGACAAGGGGGCCGGATGGGATTGGTTTTCCGCTTTCTCGAAAAGAAGAGCATTAACCCATTTTCAGGGACCCCTCGTGGGATTTTCGTGGTGATACAATCTGTCGCCCGTGTTTCCACTAACACCCCCCTATCCTGAATTCCCTCTGTTCCCGTCCGTCCATGAGGGGAGGGGAGGGGAGGGAAGGGGAGGGACGTGCGAATTGTCTCGTGGAAAGGGCAAGGCAGACAGACCTCCGGACCTGCACTGCATTATCCGTACGGATACGCAGACAATGCGACGCGCAACAGACTTCTTCCAGAAGCTCTGGGCCGCGGGTTCCTTGCCCGGGCCCCATGTCGTCTCAAGTTCATCCGTGGTTGCGTTGCGAAGCGAATACCTACTCCTCTCGGGCTACTCTGTCCCGCCTTGTCCGACAGCCTATGTCAGTCCCGTCTATCAGCACTTCGCTGCCGCTAGAACTCATATTACGGAGGATGCTTTAGCGATCCGTCTCTAACTCTTCATCCAGCGAATGGAGTGCCGCTGGAGGCCGGGTACTCTCGTTTCGCTAGGTCTTGGCTTCTACACGAGACTCACAGAGACAATGGCGTTGTGCCAATTTCGGGGTCTTGCAACAACTTGTGACTGATTAGAACGTGATGTCGTGATCGGTGGATATATGGATATCTATTTCCCAGAAAGCCACGCTTCACTCATCCTTGTGCTGACTCGGGGTGGGCGCGGAGATCACGATGTCGTGCTGCGGATGCACCTGTGCGGACCTAGAGTTCTGACGCTGTGCATCTCCGTTGTTGCATATCCTCCCGGGGCCCTGTGGTTCGCTGGTTAGGATGCTCCATTTTCATCATCCTCATCTCTGGGCAACGGAAAATTTCCCATCCTTTTTGCGCGATTCCATTAATTACTGCTGCTGCAACTGGACCACCAACCACCCTTGGAGACACACCCAGACATTGGAAGGGTGCTGGTGTGACCAGGGTACGAGAGAGGGCCGCCGCGGCTGGTTGGGAAGCATCCGGTTCATCTCGTCCCACGAAGTTGGGAAACCGCCGATCCGGAGCCGCCGCGTGGCCGGGCAGAAGCTCTTTTTCCCAGTCCGGATGCCGCGATATGAAAGGTGCCCGTGGCAACGACGCAGATGTATTGAAATCCTCGACGATCCCTCTACCGTAGTTAGAAAAGGCTGTTTCGTTTTAGTGTAGGGCCACCTGTTGGACCCTTGGAAAGCTTCACGCGAGATGAGCAGAACGTACGGAGTACTCCAGCACACCCTCCCCTCCCCTCCCCTTCCCTTGTGAATCTCGTGAAGCGTTAAAAAAAAAAGTCACCGTTCGAAATTTCGTTGAGACAGGCCCTGAACTGAGAATTAGAGGCCGCTGTTGCAGTAGCTCCATGCCCTGCAAAGTCTAGCGCCCTGCCAGGCGTGGAGATTCGATTCCGCTTCTGGAAGCTGTGGAATTCTCTTCTCTTTCCTTTTTTCTTTTCCTTCAGGACCCCCCGTGAACGATGGAAGAGACCGACCGAATGGGACCCCACGTTGAGTAAGACAGCGGATGCAGCGGTGTACATTTCCGGATGGAGACGAGGGCATCCACTGCCGTTCACCGGACAACAGAGTATCGTGCCGAACGGAATGTCCTCCCTCCATGTGAAGAAGACCCATATGAAGTGACTGTTGCATAAGCCGTTTTGTGAGAGCCGGAAGTGTACAAGCTTTATGCGTCTGACTGCCGGGGTTCCACAGCGCCGGTAGGTTTTTTTCTTCGGAGGTGGCTCCGGATGGTGGCTGACGACACAGAAAAAGACTGCAGCGGTCTTAGCCGGTCATAAAACCACCAAAAAAAAAACATACAACACCAGGTATTCGCTGATCGTCACCGACTCAACTACTAATCTGGCCCTCATCGGCTTGTCTATGGGAGAGCGGACGGGATCCCGAATTTTCCGATGGGTGTGGTCGTATGTGCTTGTGAGTGATGGGAGGTTCCATTATATCGGAGAGGGTGCACCACGCACCGGCTCCAGGTTGGCTTTACACCTGCGCTATTCAGCATCGTGGTAACTCCTTTATAAGCTGCTTCTCCTATGTTTATAGAGTAGTCTACGATTCTGGAAGAGAGGAAGCCGTTGAGCAGTATACTGAAAATGACAAGGTTAATGTTGATAAATGAAGATAGTGGTAGTAGCAAGGCCGAGCTTTGAGAGAGCCATTAGACTAGTTCTTCAAGTTCCCTTTCCGATACCTAGTAATGTTCTTTATTTGGGTGAAAGCTTGCTGACTCTAACTCTTAAATAGGTAAATACGTATGGTTCGTTACTCATCAACACCATCTAATTGACAGGCCGAGTAGTCGGGGTGTCCTGTTGAATCTAACGATTAATTGAAGGCATCGCCATGTTGTGGTGGGTAGCTACTGATCAAGAAGTCGCAGGCGAAAGTAGATGTCTTTTCTGAAGTAAGAACGCATCAGGTCCCTCGCTAGATATATAGGCGAAGGTAACAAAAGCAACTTACAGATACACTGGGCTTTGACGTATAGTATTTATCGTCTAGCAAGTATACATGAGGAAGAAAGAAAGTCAGCGAGTACTATCTAAGTATGAACCATTAAAGATGAGTTCACAGAAATACCAACTCTCTCTCTAATGTGAAATTATCCTATGGTGTTCTTGGAGTGATTGGTCAACCGAATGAATCACTCGATGCTTCAATTTTAGGCTGGGTGCCTGTTCAGGTGCCCTCCCGGGCCATCGTTCTTGCCTTATACCCAACCTTCATTCCTGCCTTGAAAAGGGTAGGAACGATGAGGAATAACAACGCCCCTTTTCCAGACGCCCTTGGCTGCCTAAAGGGCAGGCTGTCAATTCGGGTTTTCTTCCTCTGCATCCTTCCACTTGTCACCCCTCCCTCACTCACTCAACCCTCCGGAAGATTCCCACCGACTTCACAAAAAATCCTTCCCTCACACACATCTTTCGTCAATCCTTCTCCAGAATAATTCACATCCGGCACACAAAAGTCACTACTTATTGCCTGTGCCTCCAAGTCGAGAAGACCTTCACTCTACTTCCCACCTTCGACGCCAAAGAAATTTGGTGATCTTCTTCATACACAAGTCCCACCCGAAACCGAGACCACAGCCATGTCGTCCTACCACTCCTCTGGCCCTAGAGGGTAAGTAAATTACGGCATTATTATCTCACCGTGGTCGACGGCACTGACAAAGATTTCACAGTTCCCAGGACCTTGGCCAGAAGCTTGGCCAGAACATGGCCGAGAAGTAAGTTGTGTAAAATGAGAAGGACGCCAATTTCATTATTGTCTGATCACGCTGACTTTTACTTATAGGTATCGCTGCAAGATTGGCGGCGAGTGGAAGCCGATGTCCGGCTTCTCCAAGAAGCAGCAAAAGCTTGTCCAGGACAAGCTTGATCGCCACGCCAGAGTCAACCGTGCCAACACTGGCATGGTCTGCAGAATCCACTCGGGTGAACCCGTCAATGAGATTCCTTGCGAAGGCCCTTGTGATGAGATAAAGACCCTGGACCAGTTCTCCAAGAACAACAGAACTAATGGCGTCAACGTAAGTACTCAAGACAAACAGCATTGCCACTTGCGCTCATACCTAGTGTACAGATCTGCAAGTCGTGCCAGCACTGGATCAATACCCAGGAGCCTGGCTACACTCCCTGGGCCGGTCCCAACACTCAGCAGGACCTCCTTGAGGACTCAGATGAATACGATGCTCGTCTCCCCACCGATCCTTCTGAGATCTTTGACTTCAATAGTGAGGTCGATACGGTGAGAAAGAGCACCAATTGCCAACTTGAATAAGACTAATGTGCTATCCTAGCCCCTGGCTCCCATCACTGGTACCAACGGTATCACCACCATGGATGAGAATGACCTCCAGACGGGCTTTCAGTCTCTCGGCCTTGAGACTCGCCAGTCTTACGCTGGCGGTCTGCTCGGCCTTGCGGCTCGCAACTACCTCAACGGTGGGCGCAACGCCCCTGTCTCCCTCCTGGATAGTGAGAGCATTGCCTCTGCTGCTACCTCGGCCATCTTGGGTACCACCGACACAGCTGCTACGCGCATCAACAACCCCTTCTTGGACATCAACTACAATGCCTACGACTCGACTGGCCAAAAGCACCTCAAGACAAAGACGCCCACTACGCAGGCTGGCAGCTCTTCCATGTCGAGCTCCATGAAGGCCACTTCCAGCCGCACCCAGGCCAACGAGGGAGGTCGCCCCGAGAGCGGACCCAACGCTACCGTCTTCACTACTTCCAGCGTTGCTCCCAGCGGCCCCTGGCCCGGTGTAAGTTCATGGATCACTTTATATTTTCCAGTACTGGACTAATACAAGACTATAGAATCGTCAGGGCGACAGAAAGCAGCTCACCAACAAGGAGCACCGCGAGCTCCAGAAAGGCAAGCCCTCGAGAGTGTTCAACCCTATTCCCTACGGCGACGATGATGAATACAGTGACGACGAGTAGGGACCTTGGTGGCAGACAAGTATGAGGATGCTTAAGGGAAAGACGGGGGTTCGGGATGGATAGGGTCATAGGACGGCAGTTACGGAAAAGTTTTGCTCTTTTTATTTAGGTACACAGGTAACCTCCACAACCCTGATAATCAGTTCACTTTGCACAACGCATAACGTTCCCTATGCAGCCATGTGTATTTCAACTGTGTAACGAGAGGAGCATGTAGCAAAAAGAAACCCAAGACGCCCACCGCCAACCAGTCTCATTGCTGATGCGGCCTGTCCAATGTGTGTGTAATCCCGTGCTCCTGTCCAGCCGGGGTGATTCTTTTTGAAAATGCCCCCAAACCATACCCAAAAGAAGAAAACAAAAAACGATGTGTCCCTCCGCATGCCGCAACGGGCGCGGAGATGATCCTATCCCAGATTCCAACATGATGCTGGCTTATAGTACTCCCGCCCTCAACTGCGTGACGTTGACCTTGTCGTAGATGCCCCTAACCTTTTTCGCCTTGCCCCTGTGGATCAAGTGAGGGAAGGGGTTCAGCTCTGCGACTTGGTCTCGCTCGCCGCACATTAAGGAGCGATTAATGACCTGTTTCAAGACAGGCTAATCACAAGTCGTTGTCTTGCTTGAAATACCCAGGATCTGTGTCGCCCCGATTCATCATCTCCTGAGCGTCTCCCACCTGCCGACGCTCCGTGATCTCGCGATCCTTGAGCCTCTTGTGCAGTGTATACCTTAACCCTAGCGTCAATCCTCGAGCGTTCCTGTCCCTCATGACTGCTGGTCCCTATTGGAGAGGTTCCGATGAGCTGGACAGACGATTGAGATGCAAGTAAACATCCGTGCCATATCTACATCAGGGATTAGCTTGAGGTTGCGTGAAATCAGTCCGAGGCGTGGCGCGCAACTTACCCTTCCATGCTGATAAGTTTCAAGTCACCGCCAAAGTATCGCGCGTAAAGTCGTGAAATAGGCAATCCGTACCCAAAGCCGGCCATAGGCGCCTTGAAGTCGTTCTTATCAAAATCCGGGTCCAGATTCGGTGTGCGATCCACAGTGGTATACATATATGTCCAAACGAGAGGTATAGAGCTTCGGGGAATACCACCACCCTCATCCGAGATTTTGATGGTGATATCCTCCTTGCCCTCGGCAACAATGACCTTGGTCACAGGGAATTCCTGCTTATCCTGGCCGTGCGTTTCGACAACGGCGCGAAGAGAGTTTTTGAGAGTTTCAAAGAGCATATGCGACAGATGCCCTGGAACGTACATGAAGTTCAGGTTAGGATTGCAGACGAGCTGGATCTTGGGTGCTTCGAAAAGTCCGTAGTGGTCCTCGCAGACAAAGCGCGCATTCTCAATGGCTTCTTGCGCGAGATCCTGAACGTTGGTCTTGGTACAGATGATACCGACGTATGTGGGATCGCGGTGATGGCTTTGGTCTGTCAAGGCAATGTGCTGACCGATGAGCATGCGGATTCCTATACGCGACATGTAGAACCGATCGAGGAATGACTGGATGTTGTTATCAATCTGCATGCGCTGTCTTTTGCGCTTGTACTCCAGGATGCCCTGTGCCATAGTGGTGACAACTCCGTCGTGGCGCCTCTTGATGCCGTGCAGGGCTTTGGCGAACCGCTCGTTGTACAAGCGCAGCTCGGGCGGCCAATCGCCGATGTCGTCCACCATTGCAAAATATCTCCGTGCGGCGACGTTCTTCTGCTTGCTCCAACCGTTTCCATTGGATTGCGGCAAAGATGCATATTGGCCTTCCTCGATGCTTGGGTTTCGGGTCGCCTCGGAGAGCATTGGGCCTTTACCATATGATTTGGCAGGCCTCAAGAGCCTTTCTTTTGTCGATTTGTCCAAGTCAGGTCGGGGAAGTTGTGTGAGTTCCTGCGCGGACGGATAAGTGTCAGTGAGTCATGTCCGTCATGCATTATGCGATAGAAGAGCCTTGACGTACCTCGAATGACTGTGCGTACCAGTCCTGCACTCGCTTCACGGAGGGCATATCGTTGAGGCCATCTGGAAGTTCGTCGAGCTCTTGTACGCGATGGGCAAGGCGGATTGGTAGCTCCTCGGCAAGGAATTGTGAGGCACGGAAGAGGGTTCCTGAGAGCAAAATGGACAGTCAGCACTATGGCACCTTGAACGAAAAGCTAGTCAAGTGGGAATTGGCGCATTGCTATCGCATGTAGGCTGAGCAAGCAACGGAGCAGAAGAGAGGCAAATGCAAGCCGTTAGGGAACGGAGGGGAGCTGCCAAGGGTTGACGAACCGACTGAGGGCTTCTCTCCAAACTGGACCATCTGCCTCAAGCTCACGCCAGTTGCCGGGAAACTGGCGTAATGCCTGATGGTATCCATCAACCTATCCGTCTTCCTCCACGACATGTTGGGCGGCTCTGAATTGGTGATCTACTGTTGAAATGAGGTATTCGAATCGAACCCCGCGTGACCGAGTTGGGGCGGCCTTTACCGAGGCTGTATGACGCAGGGCAACATGGAACAGACACGAGCGGGCGAAATGCGGAGGAAGAGAGGTCGAGGGATTGCGAGACGAGGTTGAAGATAAAAAGCCAGATCTACTGCCGCATAGTCAATGGGAGTGAGGAGAGGTCGCGTGCAGCGTGCGAGAGGTGTTTCGTGTAGGTTTATTTCTGGTAATGGAGACGGAATAGGAACTGGGACCTCAAGAAGGTGAGAGCTTGGGATTGCCGGGGGCGACAGGAACAAGGCCGGGCCAGGGCTCCTCAGTGGAGAGTTCCTGATGCTCTGGGCGGACGGCAATGGTACGCAGGTACTTGCCCCGACTCGGTCGGCGTCATACTGCCTAGGCCCATGGTTCGATGATAGCATGATAAGTACCTTGACCCGGCTTACATAGCCGACCGTAGAGGTGCGCTTCGAGCGAGTTTCCCGCCGGTTCTGGCCGTAACAACGGTTCGCAATTGTTTAGCCCGAGGTGCGAGTGTGTCTGTTCAGGTCCTTTATTCGAACAAGTCTTTGCTAGTTTGAGAATGGCTATTCCAGGTGTTGTTTCGACGGTATCACGGCAAGAGTCTCTGTGCGTTGCCCGACTCTGTCTCACCTACTCTACAGTATGGTCACGCGTACCTAAAGCTCTCCTACAGCGTGTGATTGTGGGCTTGATTGATGCCATGTAATATCTCCAGAATAAACATTGGGTATGGCGCAGATAGTGAGCAGTTTTGCTCTGTCATCCAAAGATATGCTTCAGATAGAAAGCTCCAGAATAACGGGAAAAGGACCGAACCATTAAACCACGGAGATGAAACAAAAAGAAACATAACCAAATAGCCAGCAGGCGTACCGAATGGCAACTTGGAAGTATATACCAATGAAGAGTCACGATTATATGTCGGGCATGTGACGGAGTGACGGGCGGCGGAAAGGAACGGATCGTGGCATTTGATGTGTACTTCCGTCACTATCAATCTCCTTCTCCAACTCTGCAGCACGCGACGACAGTCAACCGCGGCGGAGGGGCTCTCGTTCAGCGTCTGCCCTTGCTCGTAGCCGAGAAAGCTGGGCCCGTGCCTCGACTTCCCCCACACTCACACTGAGAGGTGAATGCTGACGTAAGGTCTTGAGGAAGCTCCCGTGGCCGCCAAAGTTGCGAAGCACTTGCTTCGTACGGCACCGAGGCCTCTGAGGTATAGGTAAGGTAGGGGCACCTCCACAACAGCACCCCAATCACTTCCCGGTCGCGCCCTTCCCTTCTGGCAAAATGGCCCTAGGTAAATCCGTCTCCAGCGTTCACCTATTGTCGCCGTCCCAGCTTGACCCCTGTGGTCACATGCAAGGCACCACAATTCTTCAAGCCCCCAGAGTCGCTCGTCCAGCCTTCACCAGCCTCCCACGCCTCCTAAAGCCACCTCACGCGTCGAACGCGCCAAAGACAAGACTCGACGCATCGCCAATTGGTCGGCCTCTTTGACCAAACAGCGCCCGATTCTCCTGCAGCTGACGCCCGAAATCCCCCAATCTTTGGCATTTGCACCAGAAGCCGCCCTTTCGGATCGTCTTCGGGAATACTACCTCCCACTAGCTTGCCGCGCCGTGCTGCTTTCATCCGGTGCATGCAGAGTCGACTCGTCGCATTGCAATCGAGCCCAAACCGGCAGTTCTTTGCCTTGTCGCGCGTCTTTTCCGTTCCCCATACCTCTGAGAGGAATACCTACATACACACGGGGACCATTTGTATAGGAGGCCAAAGACCCGGTTTTTCGGTTGGCCGGCCGCCGCCCTATTAAACATTGTCCAAATAATTACTTCAATGACCAGCAATGTCGGACGGCAGATCGGATTCGGGGCTGGGCCTACGTTTTCTCGATTTGAATGACGATGAGGACGACAACAGCCCCTGCAAGGGCCGCTTGCGCCGTTCCAGAAGTCAAACGAGCAAATCGGTCCCCGTAACGCCGCATGCCTCTTCACCGCAAATCTCAACGCCCTCTCTACCCTCACCGATGAGCTATCGGGGCTTCTCACCTCTCTCACCGACTCCCCGCCAGCAATTTTCAACGCCCGGTGGCTATTTCTCAACGCCGGTGGCTAAGAGCCCCCTGGCGCGCTCATGGACCGAGGATGATCTCACTGCATCAACCCATTCACATGGGACTGAGAAGACGAATGAGAACACCGAAAATACTCGAGATACTCTCGGTCTGATCCAGCGGCTCAATGACTTGGCGCAAAAGCTCCTCGCGGGCGAAGACGTCCCTGACACCAACGTTAGCGCCATGCACGGAAAGCTTGATGAGATCGATACAGTTTTAGCCGGAGAGCCGCCTCAAGCAACACCACAGGGCAAGCCAAAGAACTGGCCGGCGGACGCTCGGAGTGTCGAGCACGAGTCCTTGTGGACTTCGCCTTCGCCGTCATGGTTCCGGTCTGGCCTCTCAGAAACCTCGCCGTCCTTCCGCAGCTCATTCAGAAGAGATACGCCCTCGCCCGAACCTACTGTCGAAAAGAAGCCTGCGGTTGATACTTTCCGCATCGCATCCGAAGCAGCAAAGCTCAACAATGAGCTAGAATCCCTCGTCACAAACCTCAAGGCCCGTCAAGAGGAATCCGAGGTGAGACATGACAATACCAAGCTCGGAGAAGGGGTTCACTGACTAGAATACAGCACATCCACCAACTTCTCGTGACCCGCGCAGAACGCGCAGCACAAAGAATCATCTTCCTCCAAGGTCGAGTACAAAGCTTGTATGTCTCGGAACAGTACCCTTGAGGTGTATTTGTACGGCATTCATACTGACTCGTCGCAGGGAAGAGGAACTCCAAGAAAACGACTCAGAACTCAGCTACCTGCGCCTAGGCCTGAAGGCTATAGAAGTGCAGTGCCCAACCGATATTGACGACGACCTCGCCCAGAGCATTCAAAACTGGAAGACTGACTGGACCGCTCTGAAACGAAAACGCTCCAAGCATAAGAGCTACGACCGCTCCGCTTACAGCACACCCGCGGGCACGCCGTTACGGCGGTGACCCTTACCTCGACTTTGTTTTACAGCCTTCGTCTTTTATGCGTGATGACTATAGAGATTTGAACGAGTGATGAAGCCACAAAAGTTATCAAGTACGGTTACGACTGAAGCATAGCAATGGTGTTTGGAAAGACAGCAGGATACCCAGTCCATGCAATCTCGCATTTCCTCTTAGGTCCCTTTACTACAGCATAGCGGATACCACCAAAAGTCACGAATACAGTTTCTTGCTTTACCTTTGGGCAGTTGGGAGAGGAAAGGAGAAGGAGGATGAGAAAGGAAAGGGACCAGTTTTCAGTACATCTTTCCATGACCAATTATGAAGTTCAAGCCCAAACGATTCTACTCTGTTTGCACAAGTGAGACCATCTAGTACAGAGCGGAAGATGAAGAAGAAGACCTAGATTCTCATCGCCCGTCAAGAAGGATAGTGTTAAGTAGCAGGGCTTGTGAACCAGACAAAAAAGGTAGGGTCTCATTCGTTGGTCTATCAAGATACCAAGACTGATTGGTTGTGAACGTCTCCCAGGGCAAGCAAGGCATGTCGTTAGAGCTGTCATAAGTGGTTTTGGTCTTGATGAGGCACGTAGACTATCTCAAGGTATATAAAGGTAACGTCAAAAGGTTCAAAACACATGAACCAAAAAGAGTTCACCACCGGTGTGGCTACATCTCTGGGTGCTCATGCTGGGATTCGAACCAGAGTCGTAACCTGGCGAAGGCTAAGCCAGTTGGATAGGCTCGCCCGTGACCATCCCGCCAAACGGCAGTTTGACCTGACCTCACAAGCCTGTGAGGCGCCTGCTGCCGTTGGTGACGAAATTGGACTTGAGGGGGGGGTATATACCTTAGGCTTCTCTCGCGACAGGTGTGGAAGGTACGGTCAGCACCCGCCTGCTCCTTCCACCAAGGCGGGCAGGCGGACAGGCGGGCAGGCGGGCAGGCACGTCCCCTTCTCATGATGCTACTCGTGGGAAGGCAAGTCCATCCCACCTCAGTCCCCGAACGGCCGATGACAGGACCCACCAGGAGCTTTGGCCCGTCTGTTGACATACCCTGTCCGCCGCTCCTTGCTTACTCGTCACGCTTGTTTACCCTTTTTTAAACGACATGCGGCTCGCTTTACATTCGAGTGGGTGGCATCAGAAGTCGAAGCCAGCCCGGCCAAGAGCTACCCAGAGACTGAGTAGCACGATGCTTATTGTCACTACGGGCAAGGCAGCACGATCAAACCAGATGGCTTCGTATTACTATTAATTATTACGCAGACAACGCTCTACATTCAGGGGTCATCTACATGAAGCACGATCATCAGGTTCACATAACAGCCTGATGATCAGGCCTGTTCCATACCGCTTCAAGTCTACTACACATTCGCACGCACTCCCAGCACACAATACATTTAGTTCAGCATCACCGCCCGTCTGCTGTAGCCAGTGTTCTTGTCAACACCAACCTTGACAGTGGCATCCGCAACAGGCGCCTTGACATCGTTACAAAGCCCCTCGGTCTGCTCCTTGGGCAGGAACACGCGCGGCAGGCCACCGGCGGGCATCTGCGCCCACAGACGGCCCTTGGAGGCGACAGTAAAGGACTCGCAGTTCAAGACGTCGACGACCTCGGCACCGATGGCGAAGCCGTGGACGTTGCGCGCAATTGAGAACATGACGCCGTTGTTGGCGGCGGAGCCGCCGTTGGTGTACATGGAGAAGAGCTGGCCCTTGCGGAAGCCGATGACGCGGCTGCTGTCGGTGCTGCTGTAGGAGAAGACGGCGCGGATGCGCTCCTTTGTGAGGAAGTCGGCGTTGGCGGTCGCGGCGTGGACGCGGATCTTGTTGGTCTGCTGGATCCAGCCGTAGAGCTCCGCCTTGTCGTCGTAGCCGCCCGTCCAGAAGACCTCGCGATTGTTGGGGTTGGGACCGCCGTTGAAGTGCTGCTCCTGGCCGTAGTAGACGATGGGGATACCGTCGCGAAGCATGGTGAGGGCGTACATGTTCTTGGCGAGGGCGATGTCGCCGTTGAGGTAGGGGAAGCGGGGCTGGTCCTGGTTCTCGACGAAGGAGCCCCAGACGGAGGGGTCGATGGAGGACATGCCGGCCATGATGTTGGCGCTCTCGTAGACGCCGTCCATGTCGCCCTCGAGGGTGGAGAAGACGGTGGCGAAGAGGTGGTAGCTGCTGTAGTCCATGATGCCGTCGAGGTAGTTTTGGTAAGGGGCGAGCAGGGTCAGGGAGGAGTGGCTGACCTCGGCGAGGAGGAAGACGCCGGCGGCCTCGCGGAAGCCGCCCTCGGTGAAGAACTCGGGCTCGATCTCGAGGGCGGTGTCGACGCGGAGGCCGTCGATGGAGTACTTTGTGACGAGGTCCTTGATCCACTCGGCGTAGATCTTGCGGACAAAGTCGTCCTCGGTACGGAGGTCGGGCAGACCCTCGAGCCAGCAGAGCTGCTCGGACTGGAGGTTGTTCCAGTTGATGGCGCACTCATTGTGGTAGTACTCGGGCTTGTTGAAGGGCGTGTACTTTGTGTAGTTGCCGGGGGAGTCGTTCAGACCAGAGTGGTTGGGAGCGACGTCGACCATGAGGTACATGCCGCGGGCATGAAGGGCGGCGGAGAGCTCCAAGAGGTCGGCCTCTGTGCCAAAGTGCGGGTTAATGGAGTAGAGGTCCTCGGTCCAGAAGCCGTGGTAGCCCTCTCCGTTGCCGCCAACGTTGCCCTCGACGTTCTTCACGACGGGGGAGATCCAGATGGCGGTGGCACCCATGTTCTGGATGTAGTCCAACTTGCTGGTGATACCCTTCCAGGTGCCGCCGCAGTACAGGCCCGGAGTGATATCGCATACCGGGGTCGAGCCGTCAGAGGTGGCGAAGCGGTCGGTGATGATCTGGTAGATGCTCTGGTTTCTCCATCCGGCGGCGTCCAAGGCGGATACGCCCTGGAGAGCCCCGACGGCCAGCAAAGAGAGTGTTGTTGCGAAGGAGCGCATGGTTGTTTATTTGAGGAGAAGATTAAGGTATTAGGATATAGTACCCAAAAGAAGGAACAGCAAGAGAATATACGATGTAAAGAGAGTCGATTGGTGAACGATTGGAGTATAATGCCCAGCAGGGATCAAACGCATGACAACAGCACAAAGCAGAACGAGTGATTACTTCGGCTTCAACTGCGGCACCTACAGAGAGAGAGGGATAGGAGGAAAGAGGGAGGAGGAAGAGAAAGGACTAAGCTCAAGTGCAAAGACAGCGGCTGAACAGCATATATTGCATCTTCGCACCAACAAAGACCATGAGCGGTTTACGCCCACATACCACTTCTCCCGAACCTTTGACGAGGGCCTCGTTCGCGAACCCCGTCCAAATTGCCCCTGCCAAAAGGGCTGTGCTATTGGCAGAATACGAACATTTTGCCAGATCGAGTGGTCCCAGCCGATTGAGGTGAGCTCACGCTGTCCCTTTTGAATCAGATCCCGGCCGGCGTCCCCATCTGTAGATCCACTATCGTCCCTACCCATGCGGTGGATGGAGGTCTAGAGTCCTAGACGTAGCATCCATCGACTGTTCGGATACTGCGAAACCCATCTTTAGTGGGAAGAAGGATTTAAGCGAGGCAAAAAGTCGGAAATACGAGAGAAGGGGGACAACAAGGCTCCTTGGAGGAGGATATCAGAGTCCCAAGAGGAAAGCGGTGGTGAAGAAAAAGGCTCCTTTTTTGCGCATCCTGAACAGGGTGTTTTGGGCGCTAACACAATCTACATTAGACAGTCAACCCCGGCTCCCGTCCGAGTCGGCTCGAAAACGGCAAAGCTCCAAGTCGGATAGTTTCCGGCGACCGGGGCTCTTCTCCACTTTAATCCCGATCGGTCAATATTCCACTCTCCTATAGAGTGCTTTTCTGATTGATTGCGTTGGCTCTTCCGGCGTGAATGAGCGAATGGATTCCCGGCTTTTCCTAATCGGTGAGCTTGCGTTTGGGAGAGTGTAGAAGTTACCCCTTCTGCAGCTCTGCAGTGCTGGAGCTTTTGTTCCTGGTCCTGTTTGGGTTTAGTCCATCGGTGTGAGCGTGTTTGTCACTTGTGATGTTCCCACGTTCCGACGCAGGAGCAACGGGGTCTTCCGTGAGGCTGCGAGCTCGAGCTTGAGCTCGACTCAGATTCAACGAAGAGGAACCAACCGGCGGATTGAATCTCTTAAGTGCGGATAGCTCCTGAGGTGGGTACCTAAGTGCTCAATTCGGTGAACGGGTGGGGCAGACTAGCGCGACTTCCGAAGGTGTTTGGTTCACAGCACCTTACCTTCTTCTTTGAGTGGACAATGGAGACTTCAACATCGAGCCAACGTAGTATCGCGATGTTGTAGAGATTAACTACAGATACAGATATGTTTATCAATATCATGCTGTCGAAGAAGCCTGAAGGTGAGAGCTCTTTGGACGAAGAAACCCCCCTTCCATGAATCAGCTCATTCTCATCCATTTCCTCACGTGGGCTATTTCCCAATTCCTTTTAGTAACGGACTGCTGATCGTCTTCGTATTGCAGCGACATACTTTTACAATTCAACGTAATTGACTTTTCGTTGATTTGAATTGGTCGACTGAGCTGTATCGCTGTCATTCTCGGACAATTGACGAGATTTGAAAATGGAAGAAAGATTTTGCGGAAAGCTTGGGTCAAAGCCGAATGTTGGCAGCGGCACATGCGTTCGCAGGTGCAATCGACTTCTCCCGGTGCTTACTGGTTCAAGAAAAGCCTTGGAACTCTCTATCCTCGTATATCCTCGTAAGATGCGGCCTTCAAGTTAAGGTAGACACAGTCATCGCCTTTTCGGCTATTGAAGCAGCGGACAGATGGATCAGTGCTCGCTGCCCAGCATGTTCGGTGCCAACGGCCCGCCTCTTTCCCCGGAGAACCGAAGAAAGACCAGGTTCTCAAGATTTGTGCACCTAGGTAGGTATACGTTATGGAAATGAAGACACAAATGACGACAGAAAGTGATGAGATGTCCCATGAGGCACCTACGGATACACAGTAAGCAGGTGAGCACGGGGTGGAGAACCCACTGCAGATGCAACCTCTTTAGGCGGCCCTTGTGGTATGACGTAAGTTTGCGAGACGGCACATGTCTTCTAGCACACAGAACGACGCGATGTGCTTGTGGCCGCATAGCAGTCCGCCACATGATACAGGGTAATTTTGCACTGTTTTCTTTCCATTCGTGCTGCGGTTGTCATGCAGAGTACAGCGTACGCGCATTGATTTTCAGATGGACCCAACGGCGCCGCCGTTGAAGTTTGAACGGGTCCCCTCAACCTTTTTTAATGGGCACTGCGGCATGTCTAGTCTCAACCTTAAAAAGCGTACCTACCTTACCTTACTAAGGCAAGCACGCAAGCTCCTTCCACGTGAGAAACGAATTCGACTACATGTCTTCATAACATTGATGGGAAGACGAAGGTGCGCATCGCGGAGATACTCCGGATACAAAGGAAACCGCCGAAGCGATAACAAGCTGACATCTCACTCGCGGATGCATCGCACAAGATGTGGTGAGACCTGAGGAATGATGTCAATAGGACCATCGACGGCCAAGAAATGCGGCACAAATCCAGCCGTGGCAGGATCGCTTAGCGCTTTCTGGGCACAGCATTAGGTCCCAGGCACTGAATCTTGACTTTACTGGGCGATGTCCCGACTGCTTGGCGGTCGGGGAAGGAGCAGAACGGCACCTCAGGCACGTGATGCCAAAATTCGAGATCTAATCAAGGCAGGCGCAAGCTCCGAGTTCACCTCACCTCCATCTCACATCACATCACATCACATCACAGGCAGGGACACCCAGGCGTTCTTTCCGCACTAGTTTACTTGACAGGGGCACACTTTCCCTCCTTCCTACCTAGCGAACTACGGCAGAACCATTTTACTTCTGCAGATTCAACGTCATCCCAAGCACCTTCTCTCATTCTTCTCACCACAAACTTCGCGCGAAAGCAGACCAACCTGCCGGCGGTCTCCAACACAACCTGTCATCTTTGACCGATCTGAGGTCGACCCCACCCTCTTCACATTCGAGCAAACCCTCCAGCAATAATTTACGACCGAGGGAACGCGTGCTAACTTGTCTCTTCACACCCAGGTTTCGAATCCTTCCTACCTGGCACGACCTGGCCACCACTCGAAATCAAACAAAAGATCTACATTCAACTGAGATTTCTCTCTCCGCACCCTACCTTACAAGCACCGGCCTCCTCTCGCTCCCTGCACCAACACAACCCCTTCTACGAATATGAAGCTATCACCCCCGTCACACCGTCTGCAAGCGCAGACGTGGGAAGCGTCATGACGTCGTTCAAGATCCTCCAACGCCTGTCGGTAAGTGCAAACGAACTTGTCGATCTGCGGCTCCGGTTCCATTTCCTATTGTCCTAGCATTTTTCCAAATCCTGCGGGTTTCTCCCCCGCACTCCATTCAATCCACAGATGCGACCGCTCTAGCTTTCCACCTTCTCGGTGTCGTTGGAGGTGAAGCTCGACGGAGAAGTCTCCGATTACGTCGTTGTACACAGCTATCTTCAATGTTCAGTTCTTGGCGAGTGTCTGGATACATAAGGAGCTAAGCTGTCCAAGCCGGGAGGCTACCTTGGCTGTCTTGGGATTCAAACCCATCCACCTATTTCTCCTACAGTCTCTAATCTGCACCCCTTTGCCAGGAAGTTTCTCCCTCGTGGCGGTGTTCCGACTTCACTTGGCTCCATCCCCCAAACGTACCGGCATACAACTATCTTCCCTACCAGGCTGAGGCTCAATTGTCGTCGCCATCAATATGGCTTCGGATCCGAAGCGAGAAAAGATTGGCGACCAGTCATCGTCAGACCATGCCGAGACCGAGTATGCTCACATGGACCACCCGGGACGGCAGTCCGAGGCCACAGCGGTGGATGAGGAAGAGAGAAAGCGCCTAGAGGCTTCCCGCAAGCTGGAGAACCCTCTTGCTGGCTTTACACCCGAACAGTTGAGTCAAAAAGGCGAGGACTACTGTCGAGAACATGGTATCACCGACGAAGAAGACATTCGAGCTTTTCGCCTTGGCGCCATGATCGCCGGCAATATGAACAAGTACGACAGCATGACCGAGATCACTGCGGATGAACGCGCAGTGCTTGACGGCGAGGCTACTCACAAGTGGCGGAACCCGAAGATGCTCTATGGTGTTGTTGCCAGTCGGTCTTCCAGTCTCTTTACTCTTTTTCCTATTTTCACCTTTTCCTTGTCTTTTCTTCTACATACCCCTCCAGCCTCTCTCTGTGTACGATTTCCTCTTCACGTGCAGAGACTGACCCTCCCCAAGTTTGTTCATTCTGCGCCGTCGTCCAGGGTATGGACGAGACCGTTGTCAATGGCGCCCAGTCTTTCTACAAAAAGCAGTTCGGCATCGGAGGAGAAACTGAGCGAGACACCTGGCTCCTTGGCCTGACAAACTCTGCTCCCTATCTCTGCTGTGCCGTCATCGGTTGCTGGCTTACAGAGCCCATGAACAAACATTTCGGCCGCCGTGGCACTGTCTTCATTTCTTGTCTCATCTCTGCCCTGGCCTGCTTTTGGCAGGCTTTCACCAACACTTGGTGGCACATGTTCATCGCTCGCTTCTTCCTTGGCTTTGGCATCGGCCCCAAGTCTGCCACCACCCCCATCTTCGCCGCCGAATGTGCGCCGCCTCGCCTGCGTGGCGCTCTCGTTATGCAGTGGCAGCTATGGACGGCTTTTGGCATCATGATGGGTTACGTTGCCGACTTGGCATTCTACTACGTGCCTGACAAGGGCGGTATTGTCGGCCTCAACTGGAGGCTGATGATGGGCAGCGCCATGCTGCCTGCTGTCCTTGTCTGCGCATGTTGCTACATGTGCCCTGAATCCCCCAGATGGTGCCTCACTAAGAACCGCCACTTCGACGCTTACAAGTCCATGTGCCAGCTGCGCTTCAAGAAGGTGCAGGCGGCTCGCGACCTCTTCTACGCCAACGCCCTCCTTCAAGCTGAGAAGGGGACTCAAGGCATCGGTAAACAGAACCGTTTGAAAGAGTTCTTCACCGTCAGAAGGAACAGGAACGCCATGATTGCCTCGGAAATCTGCATGATTTTTCAACAATTGTGTGGCGTGAACATTATTGGTAAGTGCTCTATAACGATGTCTTATCTGCTAGCCGTATGCCATGAACGAGGACATCAGCGAAGGTGCTTGGAATACTTTGCTGACTCCGAACAGCCTACTACAGCTCCGAGATTTTCCTGGCTGCTAAATTCACAGAAGTGAGCGCCCTATCGGCATCTCTTGGCTTTGGCATCATAAATTGGCTCTTTGCTCTTCCGGCCTTCTATACGATTGACACTTTCGGACGGCGTAACTTGCTCCTGACGACTTTCCCGTTGATGGCGATCTGTCTGTTCTTCACTGGCTTCTCGTTCTATATACCTACAAATCCCGCCAAGATTGCCTGCATCGCCCTGGGTATCTATCTTTTCGGCATGGTCTACTCTCCTGGCGAGGGACCAGTTCCTTTCACCTACTCAGCCGAGGCCTACCCGCTGTACATCCGTCCCATTGGCATGTCCCTGGCAACGGCCACGACATGGTTCTTTAATTTCATCCTCGCTGTAACTTGGCCCTCTCTCCAGAAGGCCTTCACACCGACGGGCGCCTTTGGGTGGTATGGTGGCTGGAACATCGTTGGCTTCTTCCTGGTGTTGTTCTTTCTCCCGGAGACAAAGGAAAAGACCCTCGAGGAGCTGGACGCCGTGTTCAGCGTTCCTCTGCGGACCTTTGCGCGGTACGGACTCGCGCAGTTCTTCTACTTTTGGAAAAGGTACATCTTTAGGCAGGATATCAGCCCGCCTGCTGTGCCGCATGCTGGAGGGATCGATTATCACCAAGATTCATTTAAGCAGGAGAAGCAGCATAACCCGACTGCCCGTATTTAAAGAGTTTTGTCAGAAGTGTATTTGACCATCGGAGACAAGTCTTGCTGCTGTTCAGCCAGAGCAGCGGGTAATTGTTCAAGGGGTCCAGAAAGAGATAGCCGCTGTATAGTAATGAGTGATGATACCGCTCTCTATTTTTTAAGTATAACGTACCTGCATAGCGAGCGACGCATCATAGCGAGCGACGCACTCTCTCAAACCTTTCTACCTTATGTATAAGTTAACTTAGCCACAACGTACGAAATCAATTAAAACTATATATCACCCTCTTCCTCATTACTATCCCAAACCACTTCACAGGTTCGTGCGTTATGTCCAGGCTTCCCGCAATTACCACATCGTCGCGCGCGTGGTTCAGCACCTTCCGTACGACCCTCCTTCTGAGGGTTATTCTCTCCTCCAGCATTAACACCACCCTTCTCTACTTGTAGTGCCTCTGCTTCAGCACTATTAAGTGACCCTCCAAGACGTAGCCGGGTCTTTTTTGCCCTCCGGCGCTTACTTAGTACCTCTATCCCCGTACGAAGCTTACGGTTCTCAGCCTCAATAATAGCAAGCCTATGGGCTAACTTGCTAATACCTCTGGCCTGGAAGTCAATTACTTCGTACATTGGTGTTGGTGAGCTACCTTGACGTGCTTGGATCTTCCTTTTAAGGGAGGTAGCACTTCGTACGCCCTCTAGTGCTGTAATTGGTGTCCTTGGGTCCCAGGAGCCTTGGCTGCTTGGCCGTGAGTTTGATGGTGTTGGCGTCTTTGGCTTGAAATCCAAGCGAGAAATAACCACTTCAGGGTTAAAAGGTACAAGGCCTGCCTGCCTAAAACCAGCTCGTACGTTATTTTCGCCCATGGAAGTAAAGAATGCTGCTTTAAAGGCAGGAAAGAAGTCATCCTTTGTAATATGGGAAATCTGTATCCGCATCATCTTCTCGATTTCCTTGCCGTACGAGTACTTTAACGGGCTAAAGCACCCAACATCAAGAGGCTGAAGCTCGTGTGATGAATGGGGAGGCATACAAAGAGCAATAATGTTTTGTTCCTTGCAGTATTCGTCAAAGTCAGTCGATTTATGGCTATTATGGCCATCAAGGATCAAGAGGCGATAAGAGCCCTTCGTACGAGTCCTTGTACACTGATTAAAGTGCTTTAGCCAATCTAGGCCAATATCATTTGTCGTCCATCCATTTTCGCTTGGATGGATACGCCATGTGGCTGGAAATTGGCCATTACTATACCACGAGAGGAGGTGATATTTGCCCTTTACGATGACGTACGGAGGCAGCGCCCAGCCATCCGCACATACACCCTGAATGACAGAAACCCATTCTCGATTGCCAGGCTGTTTCGTACGAGGCCTTCCCTTACGGTCAGAAGTCGTAACAACCTTTGCGTGCGATAGCATTCCCATCAGGAAACCAGTCTCGTCAAAATTATAGATATCGTTATCCTGTATCCCATACTTTGCAATTGTGTTTCGCACAAGTGCAAACCAGCCTTGTATAATCGTAGGATCCTCAGCTAAGGCCCTCTGATAGTCGATTCGACGTTGAAACCGCATTTTCAATTCAGGGACGCGTCGTACGAAGTTCTCTGCCCATCGCGGTCCAGTACGCGTCCCATCGCGTGCGTTTAGGAGTTGGTCGGCCATTTCTCGTACGTCTTCTTGTCGCGGAGGGAACCCTCGATCGATTAGGTCAATAACTCGTTCAAGAATCACCTCCTCTTCTGTTATAGTCATCTTCATCGAATTTGGTCGTGTTTCACCTCGTGCGACGCGTCCAGCGCGTCGGTGGCGGAGGGTTGATTCAGGGACCTCATAGATAGAGGCAGCTCTTCGTATAGACATTTTCGGGTCTTTTTCAATAGCTTGGAGGGCAAGGGTAATTCGACTTTCAATTGAGGAGGATTGCATGTTCGTACGTGGAGAAAAGGTGACCTAAAGATGAAGAGGGTAGAATTGGGAGGACGTGCGTCGCTCGCTATGATGCGTCGCTCGCTATGCAGGTACGTTACTTGAAAGATATAACGCACATTGGGGCAAGAACTACTTGCCTGAGTAATACACGTTCATAAAGACCAATTAATCTGAAAATACCTCCCGGGCTGCACCACAACCGCCTGTCTGTTGCGACTAGTGTGTGCCATTCTTTGCTACCTGCGATGTAAACTGTGGTCGCTATCATACCAGATTCAAGCAAGCAGACTCGTAATATTCTGTCTGGCGACCTCTCGTTGCATGGAAATATACTTTCCCGACCCCAAAATCCGAGCCTGTCAAGGGCTGGACGGGGCAGTGTAAGTTGAGGCCATTAAGGAAGGAGAACTGTCATCTGATTAAATGTAAGATTTGGTCTCTAGTCGATGTGGAAGCTGCACAATGCTATCTTTAGTAGAGGTCTTGTGTCTGGAATCTTGGTAATCCCGTATAATCATGTCTTGGGGGACGGCACTGCGATTCAAAAAACGTGGGTATATTGCGCTCCGTATCTATTGACACACGCGACTTGCTATATCTCGATTTTCTATTTTCTATTTTCATCTCTTCATCTCAACCTCCCACGCCGACTACATGCCGTTTTGATCGCCAAGGAGGCAGTCGAATCTTCTCGTTGATGCCGGCCAGGCTGTTCACGCTGTCGCCCAGTCGGATTCCGCACCGTCGGAAGGCTCTGCGCCAGCCCTTAGGCGTGCCCTTGTTGGCCATGATCGCCTCGGCGTTGTAGCTGGCCGAAGAAGGCGCTCAGCCCGAGAGGGGCAGACTTGTCGATGGGCATTGCTGGGTAAGAGATTCTCAGCCCGCTGAGTGCCGACTGTGTGTTGCTTGCAGACTGGTGGATGTTGTGGTGTTTGGTTGGTGGTTTTGTTTGTAAGTGGTGAAGTGCGATGGAGCTTTTATTTTCAATGTTTTTGTCTTTTTTTCTGTTTTTGGTGGGTGATGTGGGATGTGATGAGGATGGATAGAATCCTCGTCAGCCCTGATGAGCAGTACGATATGTGCCGTTTAGTCGTTCTCGAAGGATCGCAGTGTTGAAGCATTGTGGTCTTGGCGCTTGCCGAAGCCCCCCTTCAACTTCCGCCTACCATTCGATCTCCCACTCCACCAAGGTCTCCTGGAAAGCCTTGTGGATTTTTTTCAGGTAGTATCGTGTCTCGTGGTCGTCGACAAAGTACTGGGAGTGGTCTGCCTCGGCCGACGTGTGGTTGTTTTATTCGGAAGTTATCGTGATGTTGTTGGAACTCTTTCCTTAGGGCATTGAAATCTTGGATCGTCACCCTTTGTCGCTGAGTCGACTCTTTGGGTAATAGTGCCAGCACTATTTACACTTTGTCGTGTATGTTCCATTCCTCTTCACGAAGTGCCTGCATAATCTCCTGCTTGTCGCAGGCTGTCTTATACGAGGTTTAAGAAGGAAAGTTAGATCCTTTGCTGGGCCTGCGTAATCTCCTGCTTGTTGAGGGCTGTCTTACGCGAGGCCTGTGTTGGGTGCATTTGGGACTGTCGCAGCCCCTTCCCTATAGCTCAAGGTTGCCGAAAGATGGACCATCTCGATGATCGTGGTGGATTTTTTGGAGACATCCGCGGTCGGTGGGGAGATAGTCATAGTGATCCTTGGGTCGTCGGTCCTTGAGTCGTAGGAGGAGAGCTAGGCGCGACAGTGGTGGCGGGTGCACAAGAGGGTGTCATTTGTGCTATCTGACACGCCCTAGTCTTATGTGAGCATAAGGTATGTGTGTAACCGTGCAGATATTATATCAGTGGCCTGTTGAGGGCTTAATATGCTGCGTTGTCGATGTGGTTCATGCTGAACCGGTGTACAATTCTGCCCACCTAGATATTTCTACCGAGGCAGGCAGAAATGGTGATGGTGGTGATGGAGGTGGGATGAGACTATGTCTGAGGAGAAGAGAGATGGGCTTAGAGGGGAAAATGGGAAACATCAAGGTGCCTGGAAGGCCATGACCCAGGGTATCTCCGCTTGCTACAAGGTCACGAGTCTTCTCGAATTATGGCCCTTGAGTTTCGTTTAATGGAGGTTGACGACCTTGAGGGTAAAGTTACAGAAAAAAGCCAAAAGTCGAGAACTGCCGCATGAACCTCTTGAACAGCCGGATCGCGACCTTGTGAGAAGGTTTATGGGGAGATGGTATAGAAAGTCCCTACCTCAAGGACTGGCTCTGTATAGAAGTTTCACACCTGACAGAACCGTCTCTGATTTAGTTGTACTTCAACCTAAAGATGGCAAAGAAAACTCTCAGGAGTCTGGAAAAGTAGGTAAGAAGAACCGGAAGTCGTGCTGTTGGTTCTCAGACTCAGGCACGCGAACAGTTGCAGGGAGAAAGCAGGTATGGTGTTGTCATCTTAGTTTGTAATGTCACGAATAGTTCAACGAGACGCAACTCAGTTTCCACGTGAGAATGACACTGATGATTATGGCGTTCTTAGGTTTTTGGAGATACGCCATTGTCTCTTCTGGTTGTGCAATGTGGCAGATCGCTCTATCGGAGATTGAATGACCGGAGAAACGTCTTACCGCAAGTGAGAGACACGTGGTTTTGCATCGCAATAGGGACAGAAGTACGTAGTGCCCGCCCTTACAAGAGTGTTTGAGCAACACTGTAGTCTTAGAACCCTAGTGAAGTACAGATATCCCTTTCTGCAACAAACCGACTGAAAGGCGATGTGACTCAAAATATCGTCCACATCTTGGGACGGAAATAGAGTTGACAGCGGACCAACAGGGGCGAAAGCAAACGGGACGGCAGCCATCCAGTGGATCGGGTCTAGGCGGTAGTTATCGGACGTCAAGTGCCAGGGTACCTACCTTAATGGAAGGTAGGAGCTCCGGAGCTCCAGCTTGCCAGCTTCCAGAAAGAGGGCCGAAAAACCGTGCATTAGCGCAACTGCAAGCGTCCGAGAGGGAGGCTTGGGAGGGGCGGCCGCACGGGAAGGACGCTGGAGACGTTGCAGGGCGCCGTGGTGGCTGCCAATCAGACCGGCCGGAGCGGTGATCCTCCCCCAGGCGGTTGTCTATCGATAAGATCGGTTCGTACCCCGGAAGCAGCGTCTGTGACCCTGCGGTGCGCCAGTGATGCGGTGGTGCATCACTGGGTGCGACCTGACAGCTGACGTCAGGGGTCTGAGATGGACGCGGCTTCCCGCGCGACTACAAACAGAGCTCACCTTCCCGGTTTCCCTCACACGATGCTGCCGTTGCTTATGTTTGCTTCACCTATTTACTGTTTCATCTTTGCTCTCTCTTCGTCCCCTTGTGTGTATGTGTGTCTAATAAGGTAGACACAAGGTACAGGCAGACAGCCATACCTTACAGACAGGCTGACCGACTTGTTCACCGTCCACATCATTTGCTTGGTGTCTAATCATAGCCCGTGGTTTCTTTGTAGCTCTTCACCGTGTAGTCACCGTGCCCCTTTCCCGCCTTCGCTTAATTCCAGGGTGGCAGTTGGTACCTCGAAATATTGCCCAGTATGGAAACCGCGCCTGGCTCTTCGCCCTCCCCGGCAGCACCTGCCGTGGGGCAGGATGCGGTTGTGCAGGAGGCAGTGACGGACGTACCACCTCACAATCACCCAAGGAGTACAAACACAGAAACCCCTTCTGCCAGCTCTCACCCTGCTGCCGCACCTGATTCGACTCCCAATCCTGATCTCAACATCAACACCTTACCTTCGGAAAACGACGAGGACCAATACAACTACGCCTACTCTGAAGAGGAGAATTTGGACGCATTTTCTATTTGCTCCTTTGAAGAAGAAGAAGACGGTAATTGGGAACGAGACCCAGACGACCCAGATACCATGGCCGGCTCGAGACGCCCTCACGGCCAGCGCCGTCGTACCCAGACCGATCTCACCGGCGTCCTCACCCTCGAGGAGAAGAACGAGCTCATCAACCTGGTCAGCAGCATCTTGGACAGCATGCAGGACCAGATCAGCAACATCTTTCACTCCCCTCCCATCACTCCCGCTACCACCGAAGACCCCCAGCACTCGTGGCTTTCCCTCTCGCTGCTGAAGAAGCCTGCCGCTCCTCAAACCCAGCCCAGCGCCAACAAGGAGAATGCTGGCCCTGCTTCGACTTCGAACCAGCAAAAAGGCGGATTGACGTACAACAAGGCCCATGAGATTGTCGAGAAGGAAGAGAAAGAGGCCATGACACCTCAGCTTCAGGAGCTCAAGAAGGAGTGTCTTGTCGTTTTCAGGAAGTGGCAGGGCAATGTCCTGACGCGCGCCAAAGACATTTCGGTCAAAGATCCCGAAGCTTCAGCCGCCCCAGCCGGCCGTGGAGGTCGTGGTGTTGTTCGTGGAACCCGCGGCGGTCGCGGTGATCGTGGTGCACCTCAGGGAGGTCGAGGCACCACCCCGCGTGGCCGTGGTGGCAGAGGCGGTACCCTCAGCGTCAAGACAGGAGGTACGTCGAAAGCTGTTGAGCCTATAATCCCTAGCTTTTATGCATCGTTCCATGCTGACTTACAAAGGCCCACCGGCTACCCGTCAACCCGAGACCGACCTCTGGCTGATTCGACGATTCCCTCCGAGTGCCACACCGCTGACCGCTCTGCCCATTGAGCGCCGGAAGTTGTTACTGCACACAATTCTCCTGCTTCTCCTGTCGTTGGAACAGTACACGGCCTTTTCTCGCGTCTTCATGCTCAAGTTGGCGTCATCGCTTCACCTAACTCTCCGCTTTTTTCAAGAGGATGAGGTTCGGGTTGCCCGAGGTCTCGGCAAGACTGTGCAGGAGGTCAACGCCGATGAGGTAGTCGAGGACAAGTCTGCAGAGAACAAGCCGACCAGACGCTGGAAGGTTGGCCTTGCTGGCGCTGCCGGTGCTGCCATCATTGGTGTCACTGGAGGTCTTGCCGCTCCCTTGGTCGCTGCTGGCATTGGCACCGTTATGGGCGGTGTTGGACTTGGTTCCACGGCGGCAGCCGGATTGCTCGGTACTCTAGCCCAGAGTGGCGTTGTCGTTGGCAGCTTGTTCGGCATTTATGGTGCTCGCCAGACTTCCAAGATGATGGACCAGTACGCCAGAGACGTCGCCGACTTTGCGTTTCTACCTCTGCATGGCGAGATGCGAGACGAGTATCGTGACGCCAAAGAGATCCCGTCCAAGGACCGACGCCTTCGAGTTGTCCTCGCCCTCAGTGGTTGGCTTACTCAGAAGGAAGATGTGGTCAACCCCTGGCGTTGCATCGGCCACCAAGGTGAGGTGTACGCTGTACGATGGGAAGTTGCCAACCTGATGAATATGGGTAACTCGCTCGAGACTGTCATCAAGAGTACCGCCTGGAGTGTTGCCAAGAAGGAAATCATCACGCGGACCAGTAAGATTCTCGCCACGTAACGCGAGATCCCCTTGCTAATCAATGATCAGTCTTTGCCAGCCTCATGTCGGCCATGTGGCCCATCGGCCTTCTCAAGGTCAGCAAGGTCATTGACAACCCCTGGAGTGTCGGGATGGTTCGAGCCGAGAAGGTCGGCATGATCCTAGCGGAGGCCATCAGCCGAAAAGTGCAGGGTGATCGACCTGTCAGCTTGATTGGCTACAGCTTGGCTGCCCGAGCCATTTACACCTGCTTGATGGTCCTTGCCGAACGCCGCCAATTCGGTCTCATTGAGTCCGTGGTTATGATTGGCACCCCGGCGCCATCCGAAAGCAGAGTTTGGCTTGCTTTGAAAAGCGTCGTTGCGGGCAGACTTGTCAACGTCTACTCGGAGAACGATTATATCCTTGGCTTCCTGTACCGTACGTCCAACCTCCAGTTCGGTGTTGCAGGCTTGCAGCCAATCCAGGGCGCCGAAGGCGTGGAGAACTACGACGTGAGCAGCATGGTTAGCGGCCACCTGAGATACCAATACATGATTGGTACCATCCTCAAGAACATCGGCTGGGAGGATCTCGACTACGCGCAGATCGAAAAGGACGAGCAAGTCCTCAGCCTCATGGATGAGAAGTACGGCCGTGACAAGAGCCAGAAGCCGACCTACGTCGACATGGACAAGGAAGCTGAGCACATCCAGGAGGAGGTCAAGCACAAGAACGACGCCAAGCTCGATTCGAAAATGAGCAAGATGAAGATCCAGGATTAGGCTACGGAGAGCATCTTAGCTGCGGTGATCGGCAGAGATATGGTTAGACATGAGCCATTGTTATTGGACGTGGTAAACGGCGTGGATTATGGATGGATGGACTATTGCAACGTTATTAGCTATGGCACCGGGAAAACGGGCACACACATTTGTAACATGACGAGATACGATCAATGGGAAAACGAATATGTTTATCAACGGGATGTCTCACCGGGGTATCCTAATTTAGGGGTATCATGCCTCCTCTTTCTTGCTGCTCTGAACGACAAAGTATTTTCCAGCCGTCCTCGACGCGGTCTCTAGAGTATTCCAGTCCTCAATTCCCTGGGTATCAACCTTTTCTCCGCGCAGTCTCTTTGGCCGTTTCTTGTGACCGAAAGGGATTTCTTTGCCCAACGCATTCTGTAGCTCTTGCAAGCCAATCGTTGCTTCTGTTACGCCCTCTGTTGTCTCGTCGCGTAGTGAACGAAGTGGTTCAACGCCAGTAGTATCTACGCTCTGGACATCGCGCACAAAGTGTAGTTGCGAGTGCAGTGTGCGCAGCATCGCGGTCTCTTCCGCCTCGGATTCGGGGAGCGGTAGGGCGGACAGGCGAAGGAGGTGATAGAGCTTTGCGCGAGAGATTGGCTCCCTTGTCGACTCCTCTGCAGCGGCGCCTTTTGAGGAGGGCGGGAGGAGAGAGGCGACGGACCATGTGGGCTTCGAGAGGATTGATGATGCTGCTTTCGGGGTTGAGAGGCGGACGCAGGAGGATGTGAATGTGCGGGTTTGGGGGGGGAGCGCGGTGCAGCGGCTGCAGAGTGGACGCATCGTGGCCATGACCGTTTGTAAATGGTCTAGGACTGTAACTTTGGATTGTCTAGAGCGCTTGGAGTCGCGATCGTTGGTTTGGTGTTGTTGACCCAGGAATCAACCTATTTTGGAACATAGAGCTTGAACCCTGGTGTTTCTTCCAGAGCAGCCAAGGGACCAGGGAAAAGGTACCTCAAACTCTCGACGAATCAGCGGGTATGACCACGGCTCCAACAGAACCCCACCACAGGAACCTGCAACAACTGACATGGGGATTCGCTAGCAAACGTAAGCCACCCTCACCTTGGTTTCCGCTAAGCCACAGCGACTCACCCCGCGCGTCATAGCTGGGTTGCTGGCTGGTGCCACCGACACCTCCCGAAGAAGCCAGCCCAAAACGCAGGGCCAGCCGAAGTGGGCGGGTTGGGGGTGTCGCGCTGCTACAGTTTCGAAGCGCTGATGCCAGCCAGCAACCACCACCACTGCCACCTCTCACATCCTGAACAACGACCAAAGCGACGCACACCCTTCCTTTCTCTTCCTACAACCCGCGACCTGTCCTCTCGATACACCTAGTATAAAGAGAGGTTTGCGATAACCTACCCGACGAACGCACGTATACGACGGCACTGCAAGCCATCGAGACCCGATACTTATCGATCGAGAAACACATATACAACCCACCCCATAACCGTAGCCTAGTGCTTGCTTAATTCCGAAACCATGGCTCAGGACCCTCGCGCTCTGCTGCAAAAGGTGCGTTGATGTTGGACTTTTCCTTCAACCGCGGGGCTACACTGTTCACGGTGCAGACGACGGGGAGAAAGACACCGCTCAAGTGACCCCGCGATGCATACCGATGCTGGTTGTTATCGATATGGCAGCACACGATCGCTGACGTTTCGTGATCGCGCAGGCAGACAAGACGCTCTCGAGCGCCGGCGGCGGCTTCAGCTTCTTCGGCGGCCGGGAGGACAAGTACCAGAACGCCGCGGACCTGTACATGCAGGCAGCCAACGCCTTTAAGATGCAGAAGCTCAGTCAGTCAATCCCCCATCCCCTCCTACGAACAACGTCTTCCTCGCAGCTCTCGTGGAGCAAGCAAGACTAACAAGTGGCAATATCACCTATCTCTACAGACCGCGAAGCAGGCCAGGCTTTCGAAAAAGCGGCCCAAGTACAGACGTCCAACCTCAAGGAGCCTGACGACGCCGCAAACACCCTCGTCGACGCCTTCAAGGCTTACCGCAAGGAGGATCCCGAGGCCGCCGTCCGTTGCCTCGAGGTCGCCGTCACGCAGTACTGCTCCAAGGGCAACTTCCGCCGCGCGGCGGGCCACAAGGAGGCGCTCGGCGAGCTGTTTGAGACGGAACTTGGCGACTCGAAGCGCGCGCTCGAGAGCTACGAGGCTGCGGCGGGGTGGTACGAGGGCGACAACGCTGCTGCGTAGGTTGACCCGTCAGTTCAGACAAATGTGCGACTTAGCTAACACCACATAAAAAACTAGCCTCGCCAACAAGCTCTGGCTCAAGGTAGCAGACGTGGCCTCCATCGACGGCGACTACTACAAGGCCATTGAAAACTACGAAAAGGTGGCCTCCGTCTCCATCAACAACAACCTGATGAAGTACAGCGTCAAGGATTACTTCCTCAAGGCCGGCATCTGCCACCTCGCGACGGGCGACATGGTGGCCGCCCGCCGCGCCGTCGAAAAGTACGCCGACATGGACCCCGGCTTCGCCAACCAGCGCGAGGCCATGCTGCTCAACGACCTGCTCGCCGCCGTCGAGGGCGGCAACCAGGAGGAGTTTACGGATAAGCTGTTCCAGTATGACCAGGTTAGCAAGCTCGACAAGTGGAAGACGACGATGCTTGTGCGGGTGAAGAATGCGATTGAGGAGCCCGAGGATGAGTTTGCCTAAGTTTTTGGTGGAGGTAAGGTCAGAGGAAGGGAGTTGTTCAGCATCGTTGGCGTTGAGCACGATGGACGGCCGGATGTGCCAGTTGAGAGGATGAGAATTTCCCTAGGAAGGAAAATTGCCGAAACATGGTATGCTTACACGGATGCGTTGGGGATAGGGGGCGGAAAGTAAGAGAGGCTGCAACAGAGAGGACTCACTACACCAGAAGAATCGGCATGGTCTGCTTTTCCCGTTTGAATAGAAATCCATATCCACCACATTTAGTGAACCATGGCGTAGAGAGACATGTGATAACACATTCCATGATATGATAATCACTTGGCCGCACCCCATAGAGATGCCCGGCATCCACTTCGGGTCAGAGTCTCACGGTGGTAAGAGTCACGATACAGGTGTTGAAGAATCATCAAGACCTTGGGGCCTAGTTTATTCGTCGTTTCCTCCTTGTCTTCTGAATCTAGTATTTGCGCAAAAAAACGACCAAAGAGGGGAAAGTTGTGTCGCGGCTGCGACCAACGAACCCCATGCCACCCGCCAATGCTCTCTCTCTCTCTCTCTCTCTACCTGCTTCTTTTACTTGCTAGTTTGCATTTCCTGCTCGACAGCAATGCAGTTATCCGGAAATGGCTAAAGGATCCAAGTTCTGGCTCGCAGCTGGAAATTGAAAGACTCGCAAAACATGAACGACTTCTTGATGAGGAACCCCCTAGCCCTCTTTTAACCCCAGACTCCCCCCTTATGCCCGATATGATTTTATACAATTCTGCCCCCCTGCCGTTTATTAAACATACAGTCTCCCTATCGTACAGTGCAGAGAGGCAGAAGTCGGATTGGTCGTTGAATTATGACCGGTAAATCGCCGGCAAACGTCATCGTCGACATTCGTTCAGTTTGGTGGACTACCAACCATGCTGGGTACTTGCTTTCTCATGAAACCGCGCGTCCGTTGCTCGGCCCGAGGGACGCCCTGGATCGCTCGAGGCTCTCTCATCAGACTGGGATCCAGCTTGGTAGGAATCCGGGTGACCACGGTTCGGTACTCGCCCGGGAACTTGGCACTGGGAGCAGGCACCGAAGCCGTCCGCCACATGTGGTCCGAAGTATCGCCCAGATACGTTGGAATCTTGAGCTTGGATGGCGCAGAAAACCCTGAAGCGTTGCTTGATGCGCCGTGCGACATACGGATGGTCGACAGACGAGAGAATCCCGTCGAGAGTCCCGGCCGTCCGCGAGCCTTCTTGGCCATGATGATCTCGTCAAAGAGACGGATCGACTCGTGCGTTGCCGAGTGTGTCTCCCGCTCGTGAATGAACTCGTTGAAAGCTGATGATATGTTAGCATTGCCAAGGCATGTGATCTTAAGGGGCACACTTCTTACCTTGAGTTTCTCTCAACATGGTGGCATACTCTTGTTGATCGTATGGAAGACTCTTAATGAAGCTGTTCATGTCGAAATTGTAGAGCTGGCCGTTGTTCTTTTGCTCACGAGTAGGACGGCCCAGATGCTTTCTGTACGTGTACAAGAGACTAGCAAGGCATCGGACGAAAGCAGCTCGAACTCGATCAGGGTGGAACGCTTCACTGCATACCACAGAGACCTGACCCAGGCAGCGGTTGTGGGAACGGGCGTTGCAGTGAGAACACTCGTAGATGCCGTCTCCTTCAGACTTGTCGTCGCAAACGGAACATGTCGAGGACAAGTCATGGGCCATCCAGTTGAAGCAATGACCCTCGACCCACACCATCGTGTCGGTGTTCCGTACGGGCTGAATCAGCATGTTGGGCATAATCGTTGATGCCGCCAGAGTAGACTGGGCATACGTGGAAGGAGCATATCCGGGCGTGTACCCATTGTACGAAGACTGCGAATCGACCGAAATGGCGGATACCGACATGCTGGGATTGTGACCGCTGAGGAAGGGCAAGCTTGGTCGATGAAGAGGCGGGTGCTTGTCCATACCAAAGGACGAGCTGCGCCGAGACTTCTCATCAAAGTGGCCCGACTTCTTTTCTCGCAGAGTCTGTGCAAAGCCGGAGTCGCTGCGTGACACAGGTGTGGTCGGCATGGGTGGGAAGTTCATTGAGACTGGTGAGATGGAAGACTGCGGGCTGGTTTTACCGGACTTGCTGGTAGTGGGCCGGTCCTTGTGATCGCCAGCCTTCGAATGCAAGAAAGCATTGAAGATTGGTGGTCGCACCGAGTTCGGAGGTGCCGGCTCTCCGAAAGACGAAGAGTTTTGTGTAACCCACTTGCCCAAGGAGCTCGAGGCGACACTGGCGTTGTACAGCGTATCGTTCTCGACTGAAAAGGCGTCATACGGGTACGACTCCATTGCATATGGAGGGGGTCCAGTAGTCACTCCGTACCGAATGTGGTGCGGCGCGGCCACATGAAGTAAGGAAATGAGCTTACGACGATGTTGCCGCGGAAGGCGAACGGGCTGGTTGGTGGCGTCGATCGTATCAAGGTCCAAATCAACCAGCACGTAGTCATCCTCAGGAAGCTCAATCTTCTCATATCGCCGCTCGATGCCGACGATATAAGGGCAAGGCGCCTCAAGTGCCGAAATCAGACGCGCAGGCAGCACGGGAATAAAGATGCTCGCCCATTTAAGGGGATACAGCAGATTGACCAGTGCGTGGCATGCCAGGTGAAGCATGCCAGTGTGGGAGGAGAGGAAGATGATGCGAGACTCCGACATTGCATACTCGAACAAAGCAACAATGTTCTCCATTGATAAACACCTGAAGAGAGCGTAGATGTCAATAGTCCGGGCCCCTGGGATCTCGTTGATGGCCTCCTTTCGACAATATAGTCGCAGCTCTCGCACGCCCAGCTCGACCTGCGTCTTGGATTCCAGCGGACTGAAAGCCTCGGTGCAAAGATTGACGACATAACGCTCAAGAGGCTGCCAACGACCAACCTTGGGGGAGCTGGGTGGCACTCGGAGGACTGCGCTGTCTGTCATGGGCACAACGATGGCTCGCAGCCATTCCTTCCAGAATGACATTCTCGTGGCGTCTCTTCCCAAGATGCCGTAGGCTCTTGGGGCCCATAGTCCACTCTCGCCAGCAGTCAAGCCGTCGATCTTGGATGCAGCACCGTGCCGAAGTGGTCTCAGCATTTCTGTCATGAGACTGATCTTCTCCTCAACAGCGCTAATCTGGTCATCCAGAGTGTCACGGGCGGAAGACCCTGAGGGAATCGTAGGGAGCTTTGCAAGCAGCTGGGAGAGGTGCGCACGCTCAGCCGCGAGTCGCACTCCCAGGCTGGCTGCCAACTCCCGCTCCTCGTTGGACATGTGGCTCTGCCGCCACTGCTCACATTTCTTCTCCACCTCGTCTGCAACCTCGGCCGTCAGGGCAACCCAGATGATGATGGTGATACCATATATCTTGGAGTTATCGTCCGAAGTCATTGTGAAACCATGCCAGGTGGAACGTGGTCTGTCATCGGAAGACACGATCTGAATATCGTTCGGGAAAGCAAACATGGGTACGTAGTCTGGGAACCTCCCACGACGGGCGATCTCGTCTGTCGCGTCTTTGGCTGGGTATCTGTCCAGCAAGACAGGCTCGAATCGTCTCTTGAGGGGATGCATGTCTGGATCCGTGTTCAGGGGTTCCGGGGGAGGAATGACCGAGTTATAGTTGCTGAGTCGCTTGGCAGTCCTAATTGAAGCTGGAGCTAGCGTGTTAGTTGACCGGAAAGGACTTGAGGATTGCGCTACAGAGGAGGGTGGACCTTGTCGGGGGATCGTACCGGCTCCTGGTGTGCTTGCTCTAGGAGTGGTAGGTTGCTTGCGCATGCTGTTCATGTCCCTGAAACTCATCTTGCGGCGGATGCTGCCCTTGATGCTCCGCTCGATGCTGCGTAGAGGACTCCTCCGGCCGCTCGCGTCGGCCTCGTCGGCCTTGATGCGCTCAGCTCTGGGGTTGACCATGGGAGCACGGGCTTGTGTTTTGGCACCGGCACTGAAGGACAAGTCTTCCAAGAAGTTCTCTCGTTCTGAAGCGAACTTGAGCAAAGCCTTGTCGAAGTCGAATCCTTCGATGAAAGGGCCTTCGCCATTGAGGCCTGGGGGGAGACCATTGAAGACATTGAGGCCGGCGCCGCTGCCGGTGCCATTGATCTGGTTCGCCTGGGAAGGTCGAATGGTAGCACTGCTCCGGTTGCTTCGCGTGTTGCCATCTACCTCTTCGACGGTCTGGATGGAAAAGCGACCATTGGCAGCGCGGCCACCTCCACCTGAATTCTGCCTGGAATGGCGACCGACGCTGGAATGACGAGCAACGCGCTTGCTCGGGGTGGCGTTGAACTCGTTATCGCTCTCCTCATACTCGCTGTCCTCGGCGATGGTGGACTCGACGTTGTTGGAGGGGGGCTGCGGGGTAGAGTCCTGATAGGAGACGGACTCTACGCCGGCGATCCAAAAGTAGTCGGCGAGCGGCGTCGAGGAGCTGTCCATGACATGTCACTTGCTGGTGACCAGCCGGATTGGCGATTTGGCGATATGTCTGGCCGGCGAGGATATTTTTTTCCCAGCGTCTCGTTGCTCTCGCACGGGGGGCTGGCCCGGGCTTTTTAATCGCGAGAGGGTCTCGGGGTCCTTTGGGTCGTTGGGTGGTCGGTCAGGACTGGGGGGGTACTTTGTGGTACAAGTTGAACTCGGTGCGGTGCGGTGGGTGGACAGGGCAGGGGTGCCAGGATCCGGGAGGTTCTGATGGAAAAGTCTCAGGCGACGACCTGTAGGGAATCGGGCTCGTTTAGCTATGGGATCCTGTCGAGGTCTCCATCCAGGACTGGAGAAGAGGAGGGGGAACAGAAGGCGGTGAACGCACGAACCAGGGAAAAATGCGACTGCTTCTCGACCAGCGACAGCTAAAGCGCCCAAGCAGCGGAGCAAAAGGGGCAGGTCAGGCAGGGAAGCCGGAGGTAAAGAATCGAACCCGGATCGGAGAGGGGTGAAAGCGTCGCGTAGCGCGAGGCCAAGGTGAGGTTGATGGCGGTAGGTAGGTGTGGTTGTGATGTATGTTGCAAAACAGGAGCCGCGACGTGAGATAAGGTAGGGTAGACAGACGGACGGACCAACAGTCGAAGGGTGAATCAACAACAAAAAGAGGAAGCCGCCAAAGGAGTGGATTCTGGGAGGATTGGCTTTGGGTGTCGAGAGGTGGAAGTGAAAGTTGACGAGTGAGGAGAGGCGTCAGCCAGGTCGAGATTGGTGCCAGAACCAGGCTCGGATCAGATGTCGCCCAGGTTTAGGTAGGTAGGTTGGTCGTGTCGGGCAAAGATAACAACAACGAAGGAGAGAGGGCGATGGTGTAGTTTTTTTCTTCTTCTCCTCTTCTCTGCTCGGCATAAACCTTTTCCCCCTCTTCGTTTTTTTCGGTGGTGACAGAAGAACAGACGCAGAGCCTCCAAGAAAAAGAAAGGAAAAGGAAAACAAAAAAGAGATTTTCCCGGCGACAGGCGACAAACGACCAAACAAGAGTCGAGTCGTTGGATGGAGAGAAGTAGTGGAATAAAGGCAAAGGAGAGAGAAACAAATAATCAGGCGCAGCAGGTCAAGTCAGGTCAGGTCAGGTACCAAGAAGCCACGCGCGGACGGGAGTTTCTATTCTTCTTCTGGCCGCGTCGTTCGGTTTCCCGTTTTACGGAGGTGTGTATTTTATAAATGCAAAGATATGGAAGGTACTCTGTGAGTGTGAGGTACCTTAGGTAGTCCGTATCTTTGTGTGTGAAGAGTGAAGAGTAAAAGGCCAGGCACAAGTCAAGTCAGCGCAACGGGACAACGAACAACAACAGCCATGGCACGGTTTGGGACAGAATGGGAAGCTAATATGGTGATCGGGCTCAAGTCGCTCGACGCGAGAGAGAAAGAGGGCAAGCACCAACCTTTGGGCGCCTTCATTCGCTACTGCAGTGTGTTGGCGCTACCCGTTCAAGGACGAAGGAGGTGGTGTGCGGTCACTGCCCGTCCGGATAGCGTCAAGGTGTGTAGTTTGTTTCGGCGGGAAGGTGTGGTGTGGTGAGGTGTGCAGGTGCCAGGTGAAGTGGTGTGGGAGAAGGAAAGAGTGGATACCGACACGGGGCGGCGGTAGACGGGCGGACAGTCAATTGGGAAGGAACACTCTGAGGCAAGGTAGGTACTCCGTACGCCAGTTGCGGACGGGTGCAAGTGCATACGGGGGGGAAACAGCGGGCCCGGGGTGGCAGAAAAGGGCAACCAAACCTGAGAAGGCCACGAAGGACAGGGGCATGGGGGGAGGACAGAAGCCTTCTGCGGGATGGTCACTGGAGGAGGCTTGCAAGCGTGGGAGGGCCCCTGACAAGCCTGGGAGACTTGAAAGGTCGCAATGCAGCTGTTACAGGGAAGTGCAAGCCGCAAGACCACAACAAACACTGGGCCCAATGGGACGCTGTGCTCAATTTGCATCTAATTCGGTCGGGATTGGGAGACGAGACGCCTGTTCTGCTGTGAACCGAAGCACGACGCTTTTAGAGCCCCAGTTGCGACTGTATCTTCTATACCACTACCTTATTATGTGATGGATATTGCCTTCGCCTTGAGAGTATATTACCATAGTACCGTGTCTCTGTCTACGTTACCCAGCGTACGGTACCAAGTATTGCCGTAAGGCTGGTGTTTGAAATGGGGAATATCCAATCTACACTGCCTGCCATCACCCGTCCAAGACCAGGCAAGGTACCTGAGGTGACCCAACAATTCTATCGAACTTATCTTTATACTAAGGTACATTATGACGCTAGTCTGTATGGAAACATACATCACAACGGCCTCGACTCACCTCACGTTGACATTGTCTCTGGCCAACCTCAAAGAAGCGAACCTGGCAAAACTGGTGTATCCGTCCCCTCCATTCCTCGAAAAGCTGTTGAACCGGGCTGACGGATAATTGACGTGTTTCATACCGGCTTTTTGTCTCGCTTTCTTTTTCCTAGAACCGAGATCTCAGAGGGCGGGAAGAAGCAATGACATATGCACTAAGACCCTCACATCCCCATCGAGTAATGTCTCTCGATTGCCGCTGCCGTGTCTCGCGCGCGCTGTGACCCTGTGTCCTTTCAGACTTTCAGCTGCTCGTGTGAGTCTGGCAAAGAAGAGAGTACCTACCTACCTACCTACCCCAAGGTACTATAGGTATCAAGTCTTGTTCCCGTTGTTGTTCAACTCTGACTTCCGCGGTCTGTAATCTGTGACAGAATCATCTAGCGGTGCCGTCTTTGGCCTTAGTCTCCAATGCGACATTCTTGGCCCCTATCCTCTCCTTCAACCGTCTTTCTTCTCATTTTCGGTCTAATGAGGCCAAGGCTCAAGCTCTTGAAGAATATCACCTCGTGTTTGCCCCTTGCATAGTCGGCAGTATACTCTACGCCATCACATAGTATACTCTCAACGGTGGCTACAGAAGCCAGACTTGCGAGATAAGGTAGACCAGAGTTGGTGAAGCGTGGAAAGAGTGTCCAAAGCCACCCTTGTGGTCCCTGAACTAGCGTTCCAGGCATGAGCCTAGCAACGTAGACATCCACCTGTTCACTACCTAACATCTAGGTACCTAAGCATGTACACGCTACCCTCGGAACGGGCAATGACAGTCGGGCCCTGGGCTTCTTTCCCCTGGATCACTAATACCGTCGGGGGCAACCGCTTGTCGATCAACTATTCTTACCACCTCAGTGACCATTAGGTAGGTCGAGGAAGGTACTCGTACGTACAACAATATCCGTAAGCTGGAGGTTACCATCGGAGCAAGCGCTGGGGGGGGGGGAGACGAGGGAGACGACTTCCTTTTTGCGAACTGTGGATGAAGTCCCATAATCCATTGCCAGAGCCCACATTCACCCACTATCGTCCACAGCTGCTGCCACTCTGATTCTGCCCATCAGACCCTTTTTTGACCCTTTTTCATGCCCTCCCATGGACTTCCTTGGACTTCCATTCCTTTTCGTGAATTCGCTCCACCGTCATGACCATCCGCAATCCACCTTTTGCTATGCAATACATACGCAGTATCCGTACTCCATATCCGTAGTGTACATACGAATACTCCTTGCTGAAGCAGCACCACAGGCTCCGCAGCGTGCTCCTCCTCCGCCAGCATCCACTTTCAACTCCTCTTTGCTCGGCGATCTCCTCTTCAGCTCCAATGCCATCACGGAATATCCCAAGGTAAATCGCTCTTCCCCTTCACTTGCTTTTTCGCTGCTGCCGCCAGAGGCCTAGCATCGTGTACCTTTGGGTAAGTACCTCTTACACACTCATAGTACCTTACCTTTCTACCTTGGAAGTTAGCAGTATCTTTCTCAGCTCTGCCTTCTCAGCCCGCCCTCAGCTCTATCCCTCCCTCCCGCATCCTTTCTTCTCTCCTTCAGGACGTCATGTAATTAACAGGTAGGTTCAGGCCAGTCAGCAACCCGAGAGCCCCCCATGATTTCCATTGTCTCCAGAAAGTCTTGGGACCTGCTCCAACGAGGGGGGAAATCTGAATTGTGAGCGGCCCAGCGCTAGCCCACGACACCTTCCAGGATGAAGGTCCTGTTCAATGCACCCAGCACCTGCAAAGCAACCTCGGGGGCTGCCCAACTGGAAAGCGCCCGTCGTGCAGAGTGCAGATACACGGGTATCCCACGCCTGTTTTCTTCAAGACGCACGTGTAAGAAGCATCTCACCCACGAGGACCAGCCCACCCCGGCCTGCGCCTTTCGCTCAATGCGTCCACCACTGCTTACTTACCTTGCGCCATCAGCCATGCGCAGGCGGGCAGTAGAGCGACGAACTCCTTTTCTCACTCTATCAGGACACAGGACACACTGCGAGTGCCCTGTACACGCACCCAGAAAGCACACAATATCGAGAACAAGACGAAATAGGTTCTTAACCCGCAAATCTGCAATTCCCAGCTCAGGACAACCAACAAGCCTTTTCTCTATCTATTCAATGGAGATGACATCCAGCCATTCGTTAGCTCACGGCCAAACCCCCAAACTCCTGTCCCGAGATGCCGCGAACCGGCGCTTGGCTCATGTCCAACCCCGTCCGCATCTCCATCCACGTATCGCCCGACATGAAAGAATCTACCGGATCCAAATTTCTCTCGGAACAAAACCATCATAAGGATAATCCTTGGCTAATTCTCTCTCTTGTGGACCCTCTCCACCAACCCATCGTATCCCATCCTCATGGATGTTGACAGTATCGATACCCTCGTCATTGTCTTTTCTTGGCCGCCTGCCTAACACTGGACTCTGCTCATCGTCCAGCTTCCCTGTCATCGAGGCCTGTCGTCTGCCCTACCTTATCACGATTCGACTCATACCTGCTTCGCACGAGTCTCTTTACCATGGCGGTCAAACGAATCTGACCACTTAAAGACTTCATCCGGCATCACGGCGAAGGCGAGCACAAAGCCTTTGCCAACCTGGTAAACTCAACCCCAGGTCAACCAGCCAACCATGCGCGCCGCCCAGGACAGGCCAGGGGTTATCAGGCTTCTGCATCACACCCTCTTGGGCTGTGGGTGACCTCCAATTGCCCTCTTACGCAAGACAATCCATGGAGCTTCTGCAGACTGCAGCATACAAGCGCATTTCCACACGTCTGGCGTTCTGACGAATACGAATGGCTCAGCGAGGACAGGACAGGGCAACCAAGCAAAGAAGCAGCAATTTGCAAGCACTCAAGGCGGTCTTCAATCTGCATCCCAATGCTCGCTACAGACTCCGGAGCATTCCTCGCCCGCCTCATGCACTTTGCCTCGAGTCGGCATCTATCAAATGTCATCCTGATGGTGTACCTGCTTGTCGACAAGCTTGTCGAATTGTCTCGCATGCTGTAATGGGGCGTCTACCTTGGTGTGCAATCGCACGTTTCAAGAGCCTGTACAGCAATCCGCTCGAGGCTTGTCACCCTCATAATGGGTCTCTTTCCGCTTCTCCGCGACGCCCATCGCGCACCAAGCAGCTTCGATGGGCATGTTTTCGCAATCTCTGGTTACACATGTAAACCCCTACCTGTCTCTTGGGAAGAGTGCCGGATGAGGACACGGCTCAGAAGTTCTCCCAGGACAGTGTATTCTGACGCGCACAAAGCAAAATATCATCCCGTTCCATAAAGGCCTGATATCACGGCCCATGGCCGATCGTGGGCCCGAGATGTCGAACATGACGGACAAGGATCGGCGCACAGCTTCAAGTGTCTGTGGGTGGTGCCGGTGCTCGGTGCTAACTGGCCGCCATACCACCCCCTTCCCGAGAGCTCTTTGCGGACCACTTCTCATCGGCGCCAAAAGCAAATACCAGCCCCGGCAGATGCCCGCCATGGCACTCTACGGTGTACTTCGTACTACGCACTTGTCATGCCCAGGAAACCCATGTCTTCTCTTGAGATATTCTCAGAGTGAGTCGATTGCGTCGCCATATGCCCAATCCTTGAACCTAGGTTACGCCGCGAATTGTTGCTTCCCAGGGACCCGCCCGCATCGTGACATTTTCGGAGACTGTTTGGTCGGTCTGGTATGGACACATCAGCGGTCTACTACCGGTACTAGGATTGCAGACGGCTCGACGGGAAGGACAGCCACCGCAGACTCCTGTTTCTGCAGCCAGCCAAAGAACTGAATAAATATTTGTTTCGGATTTCGCCTGCATACCGACTCAACCCACGCGCTAGGCACTTTACGGTGTACAAAATTCTACTAGCTGGAACCTGTCGGTCTTGTCTGCTTTCCCTGGCCCCTGGCCCGCGATAGCGACTCATCATCTCGCCGGATTTGGATCGTCCGGAGTTTTTTTTTCGAATGTACGAGAAGATGGTTGTATCCAGCATTCAACTTGCCAAGTTCAACGACTCACAAGTCATGACTCTTCCAGCTGACGTACGAAGTAGAGCCATTCTGCTTTCCGTGCCAGTCAACGGATGGCGGGCGCGTCTATTCTGGTTGTCTTCATCTACCCACCCATGCCGCCCAGAAATATCCTCCAATCTGCGTCGTGCAGTTGCAGTGGCTAATCCACACCTGAAAGGCTGAGAATAATGAGATTCAACACAGTTACAACACTAGAATCAAATTACTTGACGAAGCACTCCTTGCAGAAACCCCCGTGTTGGGTTGGACTCTTGAAGAAGCTGAAAGCCCAACGTGTCTACTTTAATTCACTTCTTTGCTGCAAGCTACCCAAACGAGATGGCCGTCTCATTCCGGCAAATACCAACCGTATTCAATCCTCAACAGCGGCCGAGCCGTGGCAAGGGGAACCGCTCAAATGTGGTGAAGTCACTTGTCGATCCCATGCAATGCGACTGCAGGAGTGCAGAACTACAAAACCAGGTTCCTGTTTCGGACGGGAGACACGACAGGAAAAACGCAGAGCAGCCAAAGCCGCATGGCACTTCACTACTGCTCCTGCTCCTGCTGTCCTCATGCGGCCCTTGGCTATTAGCTATGTCACTCGGAGTACCACAACAGTAGGTATGTAATAACAAAAAAGAGAGAGAGGCTAGTGAGTCGTAATGAAAACGAGCAGGAAGGATTGGGCGCTGTGACCACGGATTGCCTCTGTGACCCCTTTTATTTAGCCATGTCCAGCCTTTTTGTGACAAAAGGACCGAAGTGTGTACTAAGGTAGACAAATGAATCTTGAGAGGGAGGGACGCTAGGAGCCGTTCGTGCAATAGTCTCAGGACGTTCTTTAGAGTTTTGAGATCTAAGATTCGAGCCCGCTGAGATATGAAGGTGTCAAAGGTCAGCCACCTGGTGGGGAAAGGGGAAAAGACTGCCTGTTTAAGGCGGAATCGTAAGAACAACACATTCTTAAGATGATATGACATATTGGTGCGGGTTTAGTGGCGCATCCGAGCGTTGTGAGGGAAGGTGGACTAGACTCCTACGCCACGGCCTATGGGATCTCACTCTAAGGTATCTTCAACAAGACTCATCTCAGCTGCTGGCATGCCAAGATGCCTCAGGCTCCTGAGCACCGACACGCTCTTTCCCCCTTCCTTCAACGTAGAGAGGCGTGCGAAGTCCAATAATATCCCCGCGCACATCTGGGAAACGAAGGATGCTGCCCCCTCCTCCTCCATCGTGATGCGGCGTTTGCCCCGGAAACACGGCTCAACGCCCCGACCGTGCGGGCGATCCAGCCGTGCCAGCTTTCCGTAATTAGTTCCCTTGGGATTTGATGGGATCTCCAGCATCAGCACGGCTCCTCCCAAGGCGTACTGTGTATGCTGATAGACGGATACTCGGACGGGGAAAAGCTGCGTTGGTCTGACATTGGGTTGAATCCGGGGGAGCGCCTTGAGCGCTCTGCGTCGCGTCCTCAGCTGTCACCGTCGCCGGGGCTTCATCTCACCAGCTTCTCACCAGTGCTTTCCCCCCTTCTTCAACAAAACGCCTCAACTGGTCTTGGGTCTCGACTCTTTTTTTCGTGAGTAAAAAAAACCCCCCTCTCGCTCACGCCACGTGTCGCGTGCCCAGCTTCCCCGTAGAAAGAAAACCCCTATTCCCCATCTCGCCCCTCCACCCGATCCCGAGAACCCCAAACATGATCCTGCCGTCCTCGCCCGGCTGCGCCCTCGTCCCCTCGGCCTCCTCCACCACGAAGCACACCTGCTCGACCTCGCCCGGGTGCAGCACCGGCCGCGCGCCGCCGCCCGTCTCCCAGTTGCAGTCCGTGTAGCCCAGCCCCTCGGCGAGGTCCAGCACCACTTTTTCGAGCTGGATCACGTCCTCGGAGCAGTTCTCCAGCTGGGCCTCCATGACCCACCGCCGACCGCCGCCGCCGCTCTTTGCGCCGGCCGGAGCGAGCGGGCCGATTTTCGTGCGGACTATGAGGGAGGATTTGCAGATGAACTGGTACAGCTTCCGAAAGGTGCGCGTCTTGCCCGAGGTCTCGGTGGCTTCGTAGTAGCTCACCGTCACGGCGAGGACGTGGTTGCCTTCCTCTTTGAGATCAAAGTTTACGATGCGCTGGAGGGTGTCGCCGGCTTCCAGGTCCGTTCCCTTCATGTCGTCGCCGTCGTTGTTGTTCGCGGCGGAGGAGGAGGTGTCTGGAGGGGTGAGGTCGAGCTTCTGGATCGAGTTTGCGCCGGGGGTCTTCATTTCCGCTTCGATGCGGACATCGCGGATGCTCTTCCGCTTCGTCGGGGCCGCGGGTGCTGCTGCTGCTGATGGTGGTGGTGCACCGGTGGCGCCGAGGGGTCCTCCGCCCCCGGGGACGGCCGCTGCGGGTTCGGGGACATCGTGGTTTGCGCAGAGGGTGCAGCTGAAGACTTCGCCTACGTAGGCGGAGCCGAAGCTCAGCGGGAGGTTGAGGATCGGGGAGAGGAGGAAGGGGGAGGGATTCGTTGAGGCGGTTGTGTCGTAGGCGAGAGAGGCTGGGGTCGGGTCCGCGGGGAGGTTTGAGGGCGTCAACGGGGGCCGGATCGGGTGCTGGATTACGAGGGAGGGGCGGGATAGTCTATTGGTTTGTTTCCGTGTTAGAGAGGTTTATCCATTCTGTTGGGCATGGTGTGTAAGGGTGATATGTGAGAGGAAGAGGCACGCAACCGCGTGTAAGTCGGGATCTCTACCTGAGTACTTTCAAGGAGACGGAGTGAGGCTCCTTTAGGGGGTCGTGTGACGGGTATCTTTGATGGCTCATTGTTGCCGTATCCGCGTCTCGCCGGCCGATAGGGAGAGTTTGAATACTTGGCGGGGTTCGATGTATCGTAGGGTTCGGGTATTGGGGGATGCGCCGCGCGACTTGATGTGACAATTGGAGATATGGAGAGATGAGAGAAGCGAGAGATGGGTTGGTGGGACGAAATGACGATTGGGGGTCTTAGCTGTGGTGGGTCCCGAGATGTCTATATCGATAAGGTAAGTGAGAGAGAGAGTGGGTGTGTGGAATGAGCCGGGCCCGCGTGCGGAGCTCTTCCCCGCATGTGGTGGTTCCACTCGGGGTTCCGGGTTGGAGGTCCACGGGAGGGCGGACGGACCCGCGCACTGTGGATGAAGTCGTCCAAAGTTTTGTTTCTGGCTGGGGATTTACAACTCCGTTGCGGAAAACAGATGGCTTCACGAGGTTTCCTCTATCATAAATGGAAGGTTTTTGAAAACGACTTTCAACCTCCATGTGAGATGGCAAATGATTGAAAGCGCCGTCATGCATCAACAGAAGCACTTATCCGCCCTTATTTGAAATCATCTACACGTATACATACAACAGGCCGAGAAATACCATGGATATCTAGAAGGAGTTGGAAGCCTGCAATTATCACGAGACGAATGGACTGCAAGAGTATTATTGAAGCGATTGTGGGGGGGTTGACCAAGACCTTGTACTATCCCCTGGTTCCGGATCGGCATCAAGCAAGAATATCGGCCACAGGTGACCAGCGTCTCGGGAACGACACAAAGAAATATTGGTATAAGCTCGTTGGTACTTTCTTGTGTTTGTGCAAGAAAGGTCAATGAGAGACAGCCGAGAGCGATCAAGGGTATGCTGAGAAGTGGGAGGAACAAAACTCTTCTTTCGGCGTTCTGGAGAAGATCAGAGCCAGTGACATCCCCTTCACACCTCCAACCCAATTCCTGGGGAAACTAAAGAGTCAAGATTGACTCGAGGGGTTGTCCGCCTCACGCCCGCAATGCTGGTGAGAGAACCTATCTCCATATAGGATGCCATGCTTTCGTTCAAAGATAATCCTTGGAAGAACCCAGCAGGTGCTCTGTCTACAGTCGTTCCTTTAGAAGGCCGTGTGGCCTGATACCGATAGATTTCTGTCCGGAGTAGCCACTTGGAGCATCGTGTCATTAACGAGGCTAACCACCTCAAAAATCTTGGACTCAAGTTCTGAGGACTACTTCCGCTATTCTTCGTCCGCGCATTGGCTGATGGGACTGCTTAATTGCCATGATTTGGGGTCCATATATTGTAGTCAATCTTCCTGGTACAAGTGTGGTCATGTCATTCCCTCCAAGGATGGCTACAGAGACGTAGAACGAACTGTTTGGCTACGTAAGTCTCGACTGGTCAAATGCCAGCTCGAAGGAAACCGCGAGTACGACGATCTAGAGTTGTCCGCCGACCTAGACGGACGCTGCTGTGCTGGTGACAGGAATGGGATTGAGGGGGGGTATATACCCTTGGGTGCCCAAGGTAACTTAGGTAGGTAGGTAGGAAGGTCAAGGTAGGAGGGGGACCTAGAGGTGGGAAGGAGCGAGGCAGGCACACGCTACCTACAATGCACAGAAACTACAATAGGACCCATATCACGAAGCCCTGACAGGATTTTGTGTGAGTATACCGTCATGGGTGTTGTTTGGTGTTCGTATTACTATGTCTGTTGATTCATATACAACTTCATCTGTATCTCCTTCACAGCGCCGCTCACATACGACAGTATTGAATCGCGCCTCTCATGCTTCTTCTCACCACCTCGTGGCTTTGCAATTCCAACTATGATTACTAGACCCCGTTCCTCATTTCTAAAGGCCGGGAGGAGGTGGTACCTGTCATCTGCATTAGCAAAATGGTCTCAGTCCACGTCGGAGTGAAGGTACTTACAGCACCATAACCTCCTCCGGTGCCCGGAGGCGCGCCCGAGGGAGGGGGAGGGGGAGCAGAGCTCGGAGGAGGCGGGGGAGGAGCGGCCTCGCTGGGAGGCGGGGGCGGAGGGGATGCCGCTGCTCCAGGCGGCGCAGGCGAGCCTTGCTGCTGTGCTTGCGCGGCAGCATAGTACTGCTGGTACATTTGAACGTAGGCGGCATAGCCACCATAGGCAGCGTAAGGATCCTGACCGCCGTAGTACTGTGCGTACTGAGCGGCGTAGTCTGCTCCGGCGGCAGGGCTGTTAGAGCCGCCGGGAGGAGCAGGGCTTGCTGATTGTCCAGAGTTGTGACCGCCATAGCCGCCACCGCCGCCGCCGCCGCCGCCGCCGTGACCGCCATGCCCGCCATGACCGCCGTGGCCTCCGTATCCGGAGTTATAGCCGCCGCGGTCACCACGATCACCGCCATGGCCGTGGCCTCCATATCCGCCGTGGCCGCCATCGTGGCCCCGCGAGCGGTCACCATAGCTACCGCGGTCACCGTAGCTACGAGGAGGTCTGCTCTTGAACTCTTCGTACTGCTCCTTGACATTTTCAATCAGATCTACGCAAAGCTCCTTGGCCTTCTCGACCATCTTAGGGTCAGGTCCACTACTCAGAGTCAGTACAAGGGCGTAACATCAGTAGGGTGACAAGGCACTTACGCGACGTGGAGGTACATATCCTCATCACTCTCGCGATTGGTGGCTGCCTCCAGGTATCCGGAACCACGTCCTTTGATCTGAACGCGGCACTGGGTCTCCTGCTGGATGTGCTTGACGTAGGCACCGCCATGGCCAACGACTTGGGCGCGGAGGTTGAATCCGGGGACTGACTCCAAGCCAATGGGGATCTTCTCCTCGGGCCATTTGCGCTGGGTTATGTTAGACACGTTTTACGACACAGATTTCTATACGTACTCGGCCATATTCGTCTCTCTCAACCTGCTCCTGGTCACGTCGACGGAAACGACGCTCATCAACCAGAGCGGGAAGTTCCTGTTTCATGAGTTCCTCAATCTTTGTCACGGCTTGCTCGAGGCCAGTCTTAGATGTACTGGTAACGTGCAAGTACAAAGGCGGATTCTAGGGAGAAGGTCAGTGTGTGTTACGATGCCATGGGTTTGATGGACATACCGCCGCAGTCGCCATGCTCTTGTCGGGGTAGTAGTTTCCTCGGGTAGTAACATCTTGCAAAGTCAACCTCTGTTCCTAATTAGACGTAAAAGTGGGAGGTGTTTCGTACCAGCACCAGTTTCTTCTTTGATCTAAATCAAGCAAATGGAGTCAGCAGGTGCCAAAGAGGGGTGATCTGTGCGAGCTATCGTGCCAAGTAAGCAGGATGATCTCGACACAAATCTGTTTATATGTAGGAAAGCGGAATGCGCTCGAGATGAGGCCTGGGAAGGATGTATAATCAGTGGTTTTTTGCACAGGAGTATTTACCATCTTCTGAGTCGACCCCTTGGTCAAGAGGTATCGGTTACGAAGGTCGTTGACTTCAATGTCTTTGATGAAGTCACCGTCGGCGATGTACATCTCTCCGTTGATTGTGTTGGCCGGATCGGGCGACTGGGCACCGCCTGCAGGAGGTTCGGCGGTCTTGATCGGGGGAACGTCGACATGCTGGATGCCCTTCTTCGCTTGGAGTTGCGCGTTGATTCGCGCGGCCGCAGCAGCTGCGAGTCTGTTAGCCATGTTTTCTATAGCAAAAGCGAGGCGCAACCCGTACCAGCCGCAGCAGCAGCATCTACAGGCGACTTCTTCGGCTCCGTCGCCTGATCATTGGGCAGAGGGCTGCGCTCTCTTGCCGACTCTGAACGTCTTCCTGGCGGCGATCTGGAGCGGCGGTCGAATCTTGAAGCCTTGCGAGGCTCGGGTTCGGTTTGGTCGAATCGCGAGCGCTTGGCGGAGCGTCGCTCGGTGTCGTCCATTGCGACGTCTGAAAGCAGTGATTCTGAAGATACAGTCGCTCGTGTTCGAGAGTCGTGTTCGGCGTGCGTCTGGATAATGCGCAAGCGCCTGGCAATCGATATGTGGGAAGTAAAAGATTGGGATAGTAAAATTTACGAGGTATGAAGCTCTCTGGAGGTGGAGCCTCGGAGAGACGGACGGGCCAAAATAAAGTGGCTTGGCCCGTGCGGCGAGACGACTTGTCGACTGTCGTTCCCATGCCATTTTCCCATGGCCTGGCTGTCACGGACTTAGCGCCTCAGGTATCAGACGTAGCTGCTGTTTTTAGTCTACACCAGCCACATGGTTGCATCGGAGCGAATATCGGCAGGAAGAATGCGGCCGAGGGGACCATCCTCACACTTGAGATTCTACCTATTCCTCTTCAAGCAACCATTCGCAACTAAATTTTTAATTTTTTTTTTGCTAGTCTGGGTTCTGTGGCTCGTTGACCACAGCATGGAATTTCTGGAAAGACAATTGCATCATCGTATGGTCTCTTGAATGCCTGGGTGGGAGACTGAGATGTTCTAAACTAGATGCCTTGAATCAGCAGTTCAAATCTTCTTTGCCAACAACAATCATCTCTACTGGCACTAGATAAAGTTGAGTTGCAGACTGAATGCTGTTGCAAAGTCTCTCAAGTCCAAATTAATTAGCATGACTCAAGTTACCTGGAGAGGTCTACTATGGAAGGTCATGAGAGTGAGTAACTAGTAAGTGTTAGAACTCAAATTGACTGCCAGCTGCGCTTTGAGTAGTTGCCTAGTAACAAATCGATTCATTCTCAAAGCTCAGTTCTTTTCTCAAGATATCCACGAGCCTGAGATGTCCTCACTTGAACTTGTGTTGGTTACCTGCATAAGATACTGTAAAATAACCAATGGCTACTTTCTCCCATCCCAATCCTGCCTTTCTACAAAACACATGATGATTACTTTGGAAATGCTGCTACAGGTCAGCAACTGACACAGTGCCGGATATAACCCCGCACCCTCCAAGCCGACCCCGCGATGCAGTGTCAGTTGGGAGTCCACTCTCTCGGTGAAAAACCCTTGTCAGTAGCTGATCCGTGCCCCTCTACCCCTGCGAACGGCCAGCTCCCCTGCCTCCGCGTCTCCGACTTGCCTCCGAAGAAATCGTCCCCCAATCTCCTCAAATTTTCCCAGTGGGAACTGACACAGACGGTGAGTCAGGGTGCTTCCTCTTATCTCCCCTCAAGCCATTGAACCTCGGAAGCTCACACTACTTCAAAGGTTTCTTGAGAATTCCTCTTTCCTTTGGTCCAAAAAGAGAGCAATTGGCCTGTTCTCGCACTTTGAACCCGGAAAGATGGCATCTCGTCGCCTCCTTTCGACCTCGCTCTGGCGGGGCGCCGCCGCCCCGGCTCAAGCGACATCGCTCTCCGCCGCCGCACGATGGAGCTCGACGACCAGCTCGACCTCTGCCATCGCCTACAAGGCACTTCGACGCCGCTCGGCGCCGCTGCCCGTCAGCGACAGCCCGCCCGCCTGGTCCGCCCAGGCCGCCGTCTCTAACATCCTCTACGACATGCCCTCCCCGTCGTCGCAACCCCCGAAGCGTCACATCCTCAACTGCCTGGTCCAGAACGAGCCCGGTGTCTTGTCCCGCGTGTCAGGCATTCTCGCGGCCCGCGGCTTCAACATCGACTCCCTCGTCGTGTGCAGCACCGAGGTCGATGACCTCTCGCGCATGACTATCGTCCTGACCGGACAGGATGGTGTTGTCGAGCAGGCCAGGCGCCAATTGGAGGATCTCGTCCCCGTCTGGGCCGTCTTGGACTACACCAACGCCGCCCTGGTTCAGCGCGAGCTTCTGCTGGCCAAGATCAACATTCTTGGACCCGAGTACTTTGAGGAGCTTCTCGCTCACCACCGTGAGATGACGGCCGTCGACGTCGAGGAGCACGCGCTCGAGGGCGAGCAGCAGCAGACTCTGGAGGATGTCGCCAAGGACTTCCACCCCAGCAAGTTGGCTGTCAGTCAGGCATTGCGCCACAAGCACGAGCATCTCAAGTCCATCACCTACTTCGCCCACCAGTTCGGAGGAAAGGTCCTGGATATCAGCACCAACAGCTGCATTGTGGAAGTGTAAGTCCACTCTACTCCTCAGCCGACGGAAGCCGAAAACAAAGTATGTACTGACAGTTGCGCAGCTCCGCCAAGCCGTCCAGAATCGATTCTTTCCTGAAGCTCATCGGACCCTTTGGTATTCTCGAGTCCGCCCGCACTGGTCTGATGGCCCTGCCCCGTTCGCCGTTGTACGGACCCAACGAGGAGACGATTATCAAGGAAGCGGATGAGGTTGTCGACGCTAGCCAGCTTCCTCCTGGTTAAGCTTTTTTGTATTAAAGAATATCCGGCGTTGGTAAAAAAAGGGGTATTGCCATCTTTTTTCAATGCTACCAAGTTGCTATACAATCTGTACCATTTGTTTGCCAAAGAAAGAAACGCCTCGCCTTTTGCTGTAGCTGTGAGCCTTTTTAAACGCCGACACATGTCCCCATTTAGATCTTGCCCTTGTTCACAACGAAGCCCTCGAGGGCAGCTGTTCGATAGTCAGCATCGTGACGTCTGTCGAGAGATAGGGGAAGTAAACTTACAAACGGCAGCCCAGAGACGGTTCTCTGCCTCGGGGAAGACCAAGGAACGGGGGCTGTAAAAGACCTCATCGTGTACCTCCTCGGGGTGACGAGGCAGGCAGTGCATAAACTTCCAGCCCTCCTTAGCACCGCCTCGCTTGGCCAGGTCGTTGGTGATCTGGAAGCCAGCGAAGGCCTTAAGACGCTTCTGGGTCTCAGTCTCCTGGCCCATGGAGACCCATGTATCGGTCACCAAGATATCGGCGTTCTTGCAGGCTTCCTCAGGGATGGTCGTCTCAATGAGCTTACCGGGAGAGGCAACGCCCTTGGCAGCAGAGTTGATGACGGCCTTCATGGCTTCGGGAATGCCATAACCAGTGGGAGAGGCCACGGAGATATCGACGCCCATCTTAACGCAGCCGATGGCCAGGTCAAAGAGGACGTTGTTGGAGTCTCCGATCCAGGCGACCTTCATTCCTTTCAGGCCAAGGTCAGCCTTGTCTGAGGTGGCAGAGGCAGGGAAGGCCTCATGGATAGTCAGGAAGTCTGCAATAATCTGCAGAGGGTGGTAGTCGTCGGAGAGCGCGTTGATGACTGGGACGCTAGAGTCCTTGGCCAGCCCAGCAACATCAGAGTGAGGGCCGACGCGGGCAACCATGCAGGAGGTCATGGAAGAGATGACCTTGGACGTGTCATACAGAGACTCGTTGACCTAGACAGCTGTTAGTTCAGTGCACTCTTATCTCATGTGAGCTTCAGTCGACGTACCCCAAGCTGAATGTCATCCTTGCCCAAGAACATGGGATGACCACCCATGAGAGCCACGGCAGCTTCCGTCGACACACGAGTACGGGTACTGCGCTTGCTGAACATCATGGCAACCGTCTTGCCGGTCAAGCTTGACGCGAGCGCCTGGGGAACATTGCCGGACTTGACTGCGGTCTTGTTTGACGCAGCATTGCGAACGAGGGTAGCAAACTCGGCAGGGCTCAGGTCCGCAATGGACATGAGATGGCGCGGGCCGGTCGACTGTGAGTATGCGCGGCTCTGGGCGCCGTTGAGAGCTTGACGAGTGACTCGGAAAGCTGTTTGCTTCATGGTGGGCGTCTTGGTGAGTCGAACTTTAAAAAAGTGTGGGATATGAGAAGCTGTAGACCGCTTTGTGCAGGTAGAGAGTCAAGTCAATTGAGGGTCAATGGATGAAACTTAAGTCCAGAGTTGTAAACCGTGAGAAAAAATGGCTACTGAGTCGAAGTGGTGGTCAATTGATGAGTATTAAGAGTCGATTGAGTCACGATTGGATCGGATGGATAGCTTCAGTGAGAGACCACAACGGCCGGGACCTCCACAAAGTCTCTTGCGGGCTGCAAACTCAACGAACTCCTCACCGCTTTACACCGAAAATTTCAGAGTCACCCTGCCTATAAACACAGCGCGTTGCAAGGCGTATGCAAGGTCAGAAGGATAGCACGATAAGGCAGAGACAGGCAAGGCAATGACACTGCGTACCTCGATAAGGTACCTTAGCGTGCTTAGGTGCTGCGTGAGCCCAGACTGGTCCATCGAAACCGCCGGAACCGGAACATGCCAACAACATAAGTTGGCCGCAGTCTGGGCAGTGGTTGCCGCGAGTGTCACTGCCAACTGCAGCAGAGGGAGGTGCGCATTGTACAGGTGCATGTGTGCCTGAGAAGAAAGGAATGGCCCGTGCCCACCCAGCCAGGCACTGAGGGCAATTGAGGCGTGGGAATGGAAGGTGGGAGGAAAGATCATCCCCAGCCATCCACATGGGCGCTGAGTGGAAAGTCGGCCCTGGTGACCAGATCTCGTCTCATTGGTTTCAGCTGACCTCCACCCCGGCCTTTTCAACTGCACTGCCCGTCCTGGGATGAACCAAGTTACTTGACATCATCACCATTCCGAATCCCGACTATCTGGGTTGTCTGGGCAAGATCGGAACCCCGTACACTTCCTCTTTGCATGATTTCCTTTTGTACAACTTTGTCCTGGTTTCAGTACTGTTCGCCTTCTCGACCGGCGATGACGGACTTTCTCATGCTCTGATCCGACAACGACACACCATACAACTGTGATCACAATAATACTCTACGCGCAATGGCCGAAGACGAAGAAAGATCGCCGCTGCTGGCGGGCAAGGGCAAAGGCAGGGTCGAAGATGACTCCTCGTTGTCCGAATCAGCGCCTCTGTTATTCAGCTCTTCTGCGACGCCCCGATATGATGGCGAACAAGACGACCCTGAGAGGTCCCGCGCCGCCTCCCTTGCTTCGAACCCACCGAGCACGACCACTAAGAGTTCTATACGATGGGCATCCGTGATATCCATCACTGTTCTGATATTGTTGGTTTTCGGTATCATG